TCAAATTGTAATTTGCATACTGCGGAACTATCTTCAAGCTATTTAGTTCCTCCGTATATATAGACCTAATGCTAAGCCTGGATTATTCTGTTTCTCCCCGGATTATGACCGATTCTTAAGGATCATGAGTGATTCCTGGGAATCGCTCATGATTTCTTCATGTCCCGGATGATCCACCTCTTATTGGTCCATCCTCCTTTCTCTTGATTGGCTGCCGTGCCTCCTCTTCCCTATTGGTTGTTCTTTGCGGGTGTCCACATTATATTCGTGACAGCGATCGACAGACCGAAAGCCTGTAAAAGACTTCTGCCTCAGACTTTGTTCACTGTGATATTTCTTAGTCTTTAAGTTCAATTAATATACTGGTTCACCATATGTTTTCTGTGCCTCACAAACCTACATAACAGTGATTACCTTTTATATATTGTAGGGCGCCGTCTCTGCAATCCTTCTTCTTTTAGTGCCTCTGCTACTGTTGAATACTGCAGTTAAAGTCTTCTTTGCTCTCAGTGTACTGCGTCGATAGCTATTTGAGCCTCAATTTCGCAGGCATCGATAGTACCCCTTTCAACATTTATTAAAATAATATTAAATAAATTTTATTGTTAACTTTCTTATAAAATAACGTGGGCCTAGGTTTATAGGTTTTTATTTCATAGTAAATTAGTTTATCGAGGCCTGTTATCTCTCTTTTAGGGCCCATTTACTATGTTTTATGGTCTATTTACTATGTTTTACAGCCTATTAACTATCAATCGATGTATAGGTCAGTGGCTTTATATACCACAAGCGATTTACAGGCCCATTGTCGGCTGTCTCCGTTATATCTGCTTCAACCCCGAACATGTTGCTGGTGGTGAGGCAGTGATTGTTGTTGGCGCAGATCACAGAGCTAATGAAAGCTGTCAAAAATGGTTATCTGGTCCCTTTTTCAGACCCACATGCAGACTGCATCACAAAGGCGCCAACTCAATTTCGTGAAATGCGCTTGAAACATTACGCAGTACACAAATACATCAACCACACGTGACGCAACTTCCTTCAACACGTCTGAGATCAAAAATCGCAAGAGCATGGAACCTTCTTACTCTGTGCATTTGGTGATTCCATCATGTAACTTTTCTACCAGCCGTTGGATTTCGTCAATGGCCCTGTTATGGCTGTCAGCGGGCTTTCCCTTGGTTGCTTCGGGAGGAGATACATACATCTGAACATATTCCTCCTGGGTTGAGAAGAGTGCCGCAGCGTGCAAGTCGAATCGTCTGTTGGAGTAGTTTTCCTGTTAGTAACCGCGGCCCCTATTCTGTCAACGCATTCCAATACAAGAAAAGATAAAAGACCTTACAGAGCATACAGAGCGTTCCTATCATCGTAATCCTCGGCGGGTTCAGCCTTTGGCACATGTGAATGGTACTCGTCAAAGTACAAACGAGTGAACTGGTTGCTTGCCGACCGCCAAGTTGCCCAGTTCATACTCATTGTGAGCCCAAAATGCGGCGGGATCATACACGATTCCTTCTTCTGTCTCTTCATTGACAATACTGGCATTCCCACACCATAAATCACCATGAAGCAGAGACGGTATTATGGTGCGACCACTCGTCTCCAGTGGGGGCAACAGTCGTGGAATTACCTTGTCGAAGAGGTCAGGGAGCAGAGAGTCCAGCTCGTCATGGGGACCTGCCCGGTCTTTACGGACTTGAAGAACATTTCGTAGTTTATTGGTAAAAAATTGCTCCAAACTGTTGTGCCGAGTGCTGTCCTGGGGCAAGTCTCCGTTGTATGTAGTATAATGGAAGCCAATCTTTCCTTCGGGAGAACTACCGCTCGAATGCAGCCGCGCAAGCTTCTCGCAAAATGACACGGGCTCAGGCACGCCATCCGTAAAGTCATAGAATTTGCAAAGGTAGAAATGAGAATCTTCCTGAATATTGAGACTGCCCCAAGCGATGGGTGCTGGACAGAAATCAGGCGTGATAGCAAAGATGGCCGATGTGCCCTCATATTCACCTTTCAATGGTTCGCGGCCGTGAGTTCCAACAGAAATCTGATCTTTCTGACTAGCTACAATGCGAGAGATCAGTAGTTGTTTGCGAATTCTTAAGCTTCACCTTCATGAAGTAGCTCTCCTTGTTGCCGTTCGTCGTAAGAGTATCAACGCGGAGAGCTTTGGCCCAGGCCGATTCTTCATGGTGGCTGACATTGACTATCTCAGCGACATTGGGAAGGACTGGAGGAGACACATTAGAGACATAGCGCTACATTGGATGAAATGCCCAACGAACCGTCCAAAACAGCTGGGTCCAGCTGAAAAACTGCACCTTCGTCCCCTCTCACAAAAGCTTCGCTTTCCATGGGCAGTCGGAATAAAAGACAACAAAACTTCGAGTTGAGAGATTGAGACAAGCCCCACGAAGAAGAGAAATTGCTCAATAATCAGGTCTTTGTGAAATATCGTGCAGCCAAAGAGGGGTCGGGTTGTTGAAGTTGCAAAGCAGGCAGGGGTAACCCCGGCCCAGGTTTGTCTGTCATGGGCCGTCCAGCGAGGGATACCAATCGTTCCCAAGTCTGTTCAACGGGCTCATCTGGAACAAAATCTCCATCTCACAAGGCTGCCCGATGATCTATTCAAAATCGTTGATACTGTTTCATCGGAAAAAGGCCCGATTCGCTTCCTGGACCCGAGCCGCCACATCTGCTTCGACATCTTTGACGAAGAGAACGACCAGCCAGTGGAGAACAAGGCGCCCTGGGGCTAGATCTATCATGTGTCCGATTGGTGACAGATGACGAGGTCTCGGGAGAGGCCTTCAGCGTACGTGGATGAAAGTCAGCCGCCAGATGCTGAGTGGTTTTTAATCTGAAGCCGGGTTGATGCAGTTCGCGAAGCTGGGGCCAGGTTGGGGGTACACGCACCACTTGTTTTCCAGTGCATGTCGACATCAACACTGTGGGAAGCTGGTACCCCTACTTCGAGCTCCTTGGTCACACCACTGTTGTGAACCATCGCGAAATCAACCGGCGTCACGGACACCGACGTATTTGCAGGCGCCACTTTCTATTTGGCAGCTCCTCATTGATGCGCTTTATCCGCGTCCGATCTCGATCCTCCATTCACATCTCTTTTGCTTTCTTGTTGGACGATTATGAACGATCTTCCGCCGCCCTCTCCCTCTCCATCTCTACGTCGGAATCAAAAGTACTTCGGTAACATGCAGTTTTATCCACACCTACCTTTCCCCTCATTCCGCAGCAGTTGTATCAAGACGGCGCCCCGCATCAATAGATAGTGTTCACCGTTACAAGTTATCCATCTTAGTGGGTGCAGGGTTCAAGGGCTTGTGGGAGACTGGAGGTGAACGTACCCCTGCCCCGGCTCGCTGCAGTTAAGCACATTTGGGCTAATGCAACAGCCTCAAGAAGTACACTGATAGGAATTGGTCAATCGTCATTATATGTCTTCTTCGATGCGTTCCACAGACCGTAGCTCTTTTCCTGACTCGCTGACGCCCAATGTCTCACCGCTTCTGGGCCTTCTTAGCCCCTGCTGCTGCTCGCCCAAAACGGACAGTCTGCAGGGTCGAACCCCTCAACATTTGGCTACGAAGACATGCGCTGGCAGGCCAAAATGGCAGGAAATCCCCACCGGGGATCACAATCGAGACCAAATCCGTTTCCCATCCGACACGCACGCCTGCTAATGCAGACCACCCTGTACCGTACTGTACGATTCTTCACGATCCGATCCGATGTGGCGCCATGGAGCGGGAGCACGTAGGGGCCGGATGTCGAAAGGCGGGACGTTTTCCGGGACCGATGCGTGGCCAGGCCACTCCAGTGGCTTTGCGGGATCAATCCGATGGGCTTTTCGGAGTTATTGGTGGATAGGTCTTGCCTCTACTGCGTCTTTCTTGGTGGTTATCTAGAGCGGTCTTCTGTCAACGGGTTTTAGCGGTGTCGCTTATTGCTTGTCTTGTTGTTCTCCACTGGTCTACTGTAAACCCCTGAACCCCTGAACAAGACCCACTGTTTCCACGACAGCCCAGAACAACATCAACACCAGACAAGACATATTAGAGCGCCTCGCCTCGACTAACGAAAGCTAATTTCGACATCGTTCGTTCTCGTGCCAAGATGTATCTCGACAAATCCACCAAACAAGGTTTCTCTTCCTCGAGATCATTCCGGCGATCAGGCACCGGATCAGATCTTCAGCCCCTCAACTCGGCTCAGACGGCCGCCATTATCGTCTTTGGGGTTCTCATCGGCCTCATAACAACGGGGATAATAATCTGGTGCTGTTGTTGCCGTGGACCAGGCTGGCAGCGCAGATCTAGCTCGAGATCCAGAGTCAAGATCATCCGCATGTCTGGGCCACGAGGCGAGAAGGGTGAGAAGGGATCACCAGGACCGATGGGAATGCAAGGGCTACCTAGTCTCCCAGCACCAGCAGTCTTTCTACCTCTTCCCGCCTCGGCAGCGCCAGTGCCGATTCGCCCTCTGGGGCCAAGGGGGATGCTTCCCGGTGCGCTTCCTGGCATCAACACGGGTGCTGGCGAGACCACCAAGCAGAGCAGCAGAGAGTGCTCCCCGGAACGCCAACAAAATCCCCTTCATATACATCCACCACATCCTCATTCTCGTCCACAACCGAGCATACCACCAACACAATATTCTCTGCCTCCCCACCTTCAAAAGTTTGCTCAGCCCCTCACCCCAGCGGCACCGTCCGTCTCGCAACTACCATCACAACCATTACCGCCATCAAACACCCAAATCCGACCATTGCCATTGCCGTCACAACCACCGCTGCGAATCCAACCCCTCCGCATTCCTCCACCAATCCTTCCTCACCCCCAGCACCGCTACTACCAACCCAGGCCCCCCATCGCAAAAATAATCAACGACCACGCAGCAGGCGTCACCAGGCCATTGCCGCTAGCCCTCCCAATAGGTCGCCACGGAATGGTAAATCTTGCCTTGAAGTACCAAGTCCACAGTGAGAAGGGGGCATCCAGTCGGCCGGTGTCCTCGAGGGGACTGGAGAGCGGGTACCAGAGTGCGTATTGTGAGAGTAGTGCCGAGTCTGACGACGGGGGGGAGATGGGGTACGAGTCGATGGAGAATTTCGGGAGGGTGGTGGAGGAGGATCGAAGGGGGAGATGGGCGAGAATGGGGGTGTAGGTGTCTGCATACGGACTGGGTTGGCAGGCGTTTGGGTTGGGTTTATTTTGTTTTGGAGGAACATGATTGCATATCGGCGTTCGGATCTGGTTTTGGGATTGGGAATGGGAAGGGTACGGGATTTGGGACATGGCATTATGCATTACAGATTGACAGCATTTTTTTTTGTTTGAGCATTATTCGAGATGAGCATTGCGGGCGTATATCCCGTTTAGCTGTATAAAGAGACGAAAGTGTCTCTTTGTGATCTATGTAGCTGGGTAGCTGGCTACAAAATACAACAAGTAAAACTCTGAGCAACCGTCGCTGACCTCGTCATCTTCTTTCCTCGCCCTGTTCATGCCTTGGATGTGAAGAAACAGCAACCATGGGAATCGAATCATGGCCTGTCTCTCCAAGTGGGGTAAAGTCTTCAGGTCCGTCGTCTGTTGCTACGGTAATGTTGGAAGAGGCTGGGTCTGCGGAGGTGGCTCCATGAACCTCCTGAGATGAATGTAGATTTGGCGGTGAGCCAAGCTGGCAAGGAAAATGACGAAAATGTCGTGAAACCATGAAGAACAGACCCGAGTTTGGGGCAAAGACAGGAATAATTTGTTGAGTCTCAGAATGTGGCTGGTCACTAAAGCTGCTTTACATGCGACCCTTCTGGGCACTTCGCAAACTGCCATCCTCGTGAATCTTGAGAATAGGCCTTGCGTTGTCAACAGCCTCCCATAGCGATCCCCGTCCGTCTGCCTTTGCCTTCTCATTCTCCCTTCTGAAGAACTCCTCCACGCTCTTGATCCTGTTTGGGTGGATCTCGTCCAGCAGGGCGTAATCCCTCTTCACCACACCCTGATTCGATCCAGACCCCTGCCACAATCTCCAAAACCCGGTGAAGTTGTCCTTGAGGCTCATAAGTGCCGGGCTCTTACTATCCACCGTATATCCAGTGGGTAGCGAGGCGGTCATACCCCAATGCCCAGTTGAAAAGTACGTCTCGAGATCAACATCAACATGCTTTGCCTTGCGTCCAGTAACCTTCTCAAAAGCGCTGGCCACCTCCGAGTAGTGGATGTGATCAACCGCCACCGCCAGGTTCATCCCATCCGCCCTCTCAGGGTTATCAAACAGCCACCTGACATAATACGCGCAGTCATCCAACGAAACGTGCGGCACCCCTCCCTTCTCCCCCAACGGCACCCTCCAAGTCACCACCTGTTCCCCCGAAGCCTCACCAACTTCCACCCTTGGCGCCATAGGTGTAAACGGAGCAAGCGCCATCTCAATATACGGCCCAGTCGTAAACAGCGCAGCCTTCATCCTCTTCTTGTCGGAAGCATTCTGACTCAGAATCCACTCCCCCATCCGCCCCTTCCCATCATAGTGACCGCACCGAAACCTCGCATCATACCCACCAAGCTTGTACCCATAGTCAAGATTACCATGAACATAAAACTTGATTCCGCACTCAATGGCGAGTTCATAGCAGCGGTAGGTCCAAAAGGTTTCCATTGCCTCGCCGGTGGCAAACCCGTCGATGTTGATGAAGGCGCCCCAGCAGCCTTGGAAGCCGGCGCGGAGGTCAGCTTCGGAGGTGAAGGTGCCGGGGATGAGACTGACGTCGGGGCCGAGCGTGAGGAGGTGTTTCGCGCGTCTGGAGTTGGGGTCGCGGGTGAGGACTCGGACGGCGTAGGCTCCGTCTTGGACGAGGCCTGTGATCACGGGGATGCCTTGGGCGCCGGTGCCGCCGATGATGAAGATGGTTGGTTTGGTGGACATGATGTGCGATGAGAAGGATTTGGTGAGAGAGGGTTTGGATTGTTCGGGCGAGAGGATGATGAGGTGTTACATAGCGGTAACTCTTGCTCTTTAATACCACTTCTTGAGCCTCTCTTCACATGTCAACTGAGGGCCAGGCTGACACTGATCAGTCATCGTAAAGACCCGAAGCCAGGATGGAATGATGAAGCCATGGATTATCACTAATCTGCGTGGTCATCGGCCCCATACAAGTCAAGTGCAGAGAATGTCTCCCTCGCCAAGTCTCGCTAACACATACGATCAGTAATCCTCGTTGCTCTTTTGGCCTGCTCTTCATTATGGATTATGCCAACGGGTACATTGCACCCAGAGTCCTGTTTCTGTGTTTGCTTTGGATCACCGCTGACAAAAGCCCTTCATCGAGTGGGAAACGACGCCGAAGACGGCCCTCATCGTGTCTTGTTCCCCCTGAGGTGGACCCACTTTACCCCGAAGTCCGGAGCCCCTAGGTGTTCGTTGCGAGGGTGGATGTCTCATCCCTTTCAAAAGGCTGTTCTTTGAGGCTCCTGGCAATGTCATTGGCAAGCAAAACTGCAATCCGAACACCAGTCAACACCCCAATGCTTCTCAGCTTCTCGACAGCAAACTTCCGTGTGTCGAGCGGGGCAAGCGACTGGATGGCGATGATGTGTAATGGTTGAACAAGAGAAAGAGCAACTAGGACACCGTCAGTCAGTCGAACGGAGTCTGGAACAAACTGTCGGTAAGTACTCACACCCGTCCTCCCCAAAGCTCGAAGCCGAGATGCACACGTCCGCCATCAGCTCATGGATCCATCTGAGCGTCGTGGCCTTCCTCTCAACTGCGCACACTTTGTTCTGCACCACAATCCTTCCAACCAGGATGCACAGCGTCCTCCAATTGTTCCACACCTTTGCCATCGACAGACTTCCGTATTGGTGGCGCTTCCCGTTGAAGCCGGTGCTGTCGTCAGAGGTGCAGTACTCCCACGAAAGAGGAAGCCCCTCCCTCCATGTTTTGAGATCTGCATTGATATCCAACGCGCTCTGAAGAATAGCCTCTTGACTTAAAGTTCTGTGCTTGACGGCTGCTCGAAGGTTGACGACCCGGAAGGAAATCTCGCATATCGAAGCTGGATTCCGCGTCTCCCGCTGGTGCAGCTGCTCCCTGATGCCGCTCGACTGGAAGTTGTACGTTGCTGTCACGAGGGCAGGCGGGACAGCGACCCGCTGCTTCATGCATGCGAGGAGCTATGTGAGTGTAAGAAGATGCATGGAACTTGGAAGAAAAAGGGAAAAGAAAAGAAAAGGTGGGGACTCGTACTATTTGAGGCCGGATCTGCACGTAGAGTTGCCCTCCGCGCTCCCGAGTAAATTGCTCTTGACCTCGCAGATCCAACAAGGCTGTGGCACCCTGGATGTGGGTTGTCCAACTGTGATATCGATCCCAGGTGTCAAAGTTGATCATCTCGTAGAGTCCGAGCAGGATGACGGCCATGAGGGTGGCGTCGTCAGCCGCTTGGGATGGGTTACTCAGAGCCTCCTTGACGGCGGTAAGGGCATGTCGATACTGCTGCCGGGATTGGACCGAGAGTTGAGGCGAAGGATTGATGTTGGAGAGACCTGCCAGACCTGCCGCCTCGATGGCTGCTCGAAGAGGTGCAAAACGACCATCATGATGACGGTAAGCTGTGGCTAGCCAATCTTGATAGCCCGAGCTTGTGGAAAACGGGTCTTGGTGAAACACGTATTTGGCGAAAAAGAAGTTTGCACCAACCTCGTCGGCGGGACTGGTGAGTGAAGCCGGCAGAGGATTGGCAGCCGACGGAGATAAGGCAGGACCGGTCTGCTTTCTCTCCCCCTTGCGGGATATCCGAATAATCCGACTGGACTCGTCTCGAAAGATTACCTCATTCAGGTCTCGGTAGCCGGGACACGGAAGACCGGACTTGTGACATCTCGTACACTCCGGTTTGCGCTGATCACACTACAATCGCCATGTGTTAGCTTTTCCTGCATATACGGCAACGTGGGACGACAGCACAACAGGAATGCAGCATGGGAGGGCTAAAATGACATAGGTATCGAATATGTACCTTGATCTTTCGCTGCCGGCAGCGCTGGCAGCCTTTGCTCACAACACCGTAATAAACCATGGTTGATAGCTGAAGTCTCTGGGCGAGTGAGAGAGAACTAGAAACAAAAAATGAAGACCCAGGGTCCATGGGCTAAGTTTTTGTTGTTCCTTGCTTGCGTCAACATCGAGCGCAGCCACAGCCTCTTAACCCCTATCTCACCTGCCTGTGGATCCTTACCGTCCCCCCCTGCAGTCATACTTACACCGCAGTCTTACCACCAAAGCGGACTAGCGCGGCCTTTTTTTTTTCACTCATTTCATTGGCTGTTTCGCTTCATCAATCTCTGGATATGAAACTTCATAGGGTTGTGGGTCTGGCGATCTTCAACCACCAACCGCGTACACATTCCATGGAGCCGGAGGTGGAAGCTATCTCGATATTGAAACCAGGTAGATATAAGGACAATAAGATGTTGCCTCTAGGAGTGTTGAGATGTGGACAGAAAGCCATAGACACAGCTGTTCTCTCGTCGTGCCTATTACCAATTGAGTCCTTTAGGCAATTCCGCCTTTTGCAACAGCCCCTTTCCATCATAACAACCAAGCCACCATGCCTCACCAGGAAGCTGAACAGACCTTCCGGTCCTACGGCAAGGAAGACAGTGAACACTACACCAAACACCGGCCAAACTACCACCCTTCCCTCTACAAAGCCATCCTCAACCACCACACCTACACCGGCGGCAAGCTCGACACCCTCCTCGACGTAGGCTGCGGCCCCGGGTCCCACGCCGTCCGTACCCTCGCCCCCCATTTTGCTCATGCCATCGGCATCGACCCCGGCGAAGGCATGATCACAGCCGCCAAAAACCTCCTCACCACCGACCCCATCTTCACCAAAACATCCGAGTCGATTGACTTCCAAGTCGGCTCTGCCGAGCAACTTGAGAAAATCACCCCCAAAAACAGCGTCGACCTCATCACCGCCTCCCACGCCGCCCACTGGTTCGACATGCCCCTGTTCTGGAAGTCGGCCGCCAACGTCCTCAAGCCAGGCGGCAGCGTGGCCATCTGGGCAAGCGGCGAGATCCGCATCAACCCCAACATCCCCGCCGGCCGGGCCATCCAGCAGACCATCGACCTCTTCTGGGACCGCCACTTCAAGGACTTTGTCGTCCCCGGCAACGAGATGATCAAGCACAGCTACGCTGACCTTCTCCTCCCCTGGACCCTCCCCGAGCCGATCGACGACTTTGAGAAGGACACGTTTTACCGGAGGGAGTGGAGTCCCAGCGAAAGTTTCTTTGATGTGGAGAACTCCGAGGTGAGTCTGAACAAGTGGGAGAAGATTATGAGCACCGGTACGCCGGTGACGCGCTGGCGGGAGGCTCATCCCGATGATGCCGGGACGGAGAGGGACCCGTTGAGGAAGTGCAGGAGGGAGATTGAGAGGCTGCTGCATGAGGCCGGTGTTGAGAAGGGGAAGGAGACGGTCAAGGGGTACACCAAGGGGGTTTTGTTGATGGTGAAGAGACAGTAGGTTCCGAGGCGCTTCATGTTCTTGATATCAACTATCATGGCTTGACTAGATTAGACTTGCTTAGTACAGACTGTTAGAGACAAAGACTGGTTGAACACTCACAGAATGATGGAAGCTCGATTCGAATACGCTGTGCTAGACTGACAAAAGAAAGAGAATATGTGTGGTGTGGGTAAGTACAGATAACAAGAAAGAAACAGCTTTGTCACAGCTGGGTATTCATTTTGGACCCCGTCGAATCCCCCAAAAAGACACCCCTAGATCACCACTCAGTAATTCCTGTACCCCAGGGCTCCCTCCAAATCCAATCCCCTGACCGCATCCTCCAAAGCATCCAGCTCATCCAGTCTTGCGACAGACTTGCGCGCATCACACTCGTGAGTGTCAAAGTACCCACCCCCGTTTCTCAACACCGGCTCAGGGGAAGCCTCGGGGGTCAACGGACCACGGCCTCCCCGTCCATTACCATTCACATAACCATTCCCATTCGGCTTGGCAGCGACGCCGTTACACACATTCCAGAGATCACCGCACACAGCCGAACCTCGAGAGTGGCTCGGGCTGGTAAAGACACCCTCCACAGCGCTGACAACAAAAAGGAAGCTGATACCAGCAAACGGCCTCTCCGGGCGAGGCCAAACGAGCTTGTTCTTGGTGAGGGTCTTGACCAGCTCTCCGAGTAAGAACGAGTCGCAGTGGTACTTGTTGCAGCCCGCCTTGCCAGCCACTAGCTTCTCGAGCGTCGAGGTCACAATCTCGATGGCGGAGGAAACGAGAAGTTGGCGTTGCTCGTCGATGTGTTCTTGTTTGTGTTAGCCACTACACCTTTTTGTGAACAGCCTATTAGAAGAAACTTACTGATCAACTTGTCCCGGATGGGCAGCCCCAACGTCTTGATCGGCCCGTCACTCCCCACAATGGCAGTCTTTGTCACTCCCCTGAGGACCTCTGCGTTTCTAAACACATAGCTGATGTACAACCACACGATCAGATCCCTGTTGTAGGCATCCGGGATCGTGTGCTCCAGCCGCGAGATCCATCTCTCCCCATACACCTCCACCGCGTCAAACAGCTGGAACTTGTCGACAAACAGCGCGATCTGGCCGAGGGTATCAAGATCAACCTCCTTTGGCACCTTTGACCCCTTGCCATGGAGCGCATTGAGAACAATGGCCACGGCCTTGCTGTCGAATTGCTCTTCGGATGCCAGCTGCAGGTGGATGCGACCATCGGATTGCTTCGACTGTTGGCCGCCCGCATACTTGAGCTTGCTCTTGAAGATTTTGGACGCAAAGGACAGATGCTTGGAAGAGACCTTGATCCTCAGACCTGGGCGAGAAGCTGGCGGCGCGGCCGTGGTCGAGGTTGTTTTTTGCTGGGTATGTGTTGTCCCCTCCTCCCATGGCGCGAATGGCTCTGTCTGCGGGGGCACAATGACCAGCGCATCGGCGTCAGGGTCGACTTCGTAGAGGGGCGCCAAGCCTGCAAAGGGCGAGGCTACCACGACGACCTGGAGGGAGTCTGACATTGTCTTGTCTGTCCTCTGAAGGGTGATGTTTCTCGTACAATGATGGCAAAGCACGAACAAAACAAGAGAGAGAGGAACAGAAACAAAAAAGAAAAAACCAAGAAAGACACCCGTCCCAAATTTACCTCAATCTCATTTCCGATTTTCGGGTGGCAGGAAAGGACACACACCTGAAATCCCTCCCCCAAGACAGAGCGTGTCCCGTGGTGGTGGTGGTGGTGGTGGTGGTGGTGGTGTGGGTGATGTGCCATGCATCGCGTGCGGGGCACAATCGATCACGCAATCCCGCCCAATGGCCAGGCCTGGTTGGACATCCCGCGGGGGAAGGGTGTCAAGGAAAAGGTAAGCGATTCCCACGTTTTTTTTTATTGTGTGTGTGCCAATGAGCAGTGCTTGAGCACGGCTAGCCAATCCCGGGGCTCAATTGATAGTTGCCGTCTTGGAAACGGCCGCTCGGCAGCTTTTCATGTCGAGGCTTGTTGCCACCTTGCTGTGGTGTTCATTTTATCACACAAAAATAGGTGCGTAAGTGGGCGAAAAGAGTATGGCAATGTTGTAATACATTAATATGTTGATGTGTTATTGTGTACATGTGCTAATAGGGTGATGTGCTAATGTGGTGAAGGGGTAATTTGTGAAAGGTGAAAGGGAGTATCAAAACACATGTTGTATGTTTCCTCTCATCCTAGAAGCCTCTCGAGATTTGCGGCCCCTTTGCAAGAAAAGGGGCAGCCTGGGTCATTCCCGTTGATCTCTCTCCACTTTGGTGTTGGCCTGGTGACCCTGCCTGTGTTGTTGATGAGCACTATCATGTCTGGCTTGAGGTGCTATTCAGGTAGCATTCCGTATCTCTTGGTCAAACATCCAGCAGCCCGGGCTTGTATTTCGAGTACGCCGGTGGAGGCTCTGGAATAGCTGGTTCCGAGCCAACTGTTGTTTCTGGCGAAGAAGCAGCCACGCCAGGAGAAGAAGCATTTCCGTTCATCTCTGACGATTGCACAGGCGATGCTCCTCGTTTGGGCAGCGGAGTCGTGATATCCAACAAACCCAGATTCCTCGGCCTGTCCCCTCCACTCCCAGTCTCCTCCTTAGATTTCACTCCCAGTCCCGTTGACACTCCTGAAGCCGGACTAACGGGGTCAATCCTCGCAGAAACCCTCGGCCCGCTCATCTCCCCTGCCCCCAACCGCGCGGCCTGACCCCGTAGTCTCATGTGCAAAATCTCCTCCTCCGCCTTCCTCTCCTCCTTTCTCTTCTTCTTCTTCAGCTCCTGCCTCCAATACAGTATGGTCAAGCCAACAATAAGCGGAACCGCAATGCCCACTCCCAATCCGATCGCAAGCGGGTTGACCCTGCCGTTATTGAAATATTTGCGGGGATGGAGGTTTGGTGTTTCCAGTGGGATGATGGAATCCAGGAGTTGGGCTAAAAGCGGGGCCATGGTGTCGTCGTTACGCCTGTGACCCTGGGAATGGTGATAGCGCCGAGATATGGAACACAGTGGTGTTTGTAGATAACTGGGGGCCGATGGATATATCTAGGTACTTTCGTCCGTGATTCGGCCGTGAGCAACAGCCTTCAACTCAACCTGACGTGAGGCTAAGCGCCCGAGACAGGGGCGCTGCGCTGCGCCAAGGCGACGGTATGGTGATGTTGGCAAAAAGATCCAACACCTGATCAAAGAAAACTGTGCATGTTTAAATAGTTGAGCTGTTTTCTGTCGAATCGTCTTCATAGCTCAAAGATGGTGCTTTCTGAGAGCCGACAGGTGGTTTGATACTCTGTCGGAAGACTCTTGCCATGGTGAGGAATATCGACAAGACGGGAAGGCTCTTGGCGTTGGGACTTTGGTTGGAAGAGTTCCTTTCATGTGATCCCGACCCTCTCTGTATTCCAGACTCGATGAAAGCTTCCATTCATGATAATCCCTTCCAAAATCCGTCCCCAAAACCTCCTCCAAAACAGTGAACTAAAACCAAGCCCCCATAACTACCCCCCATGCCCATCTCCCAAACCCACAACCAACTTCACCCCCTACCCAGTCTTTGTTCCTTCATAACCCTCCCCAAAAGTCTCCTTTTCCGCCCGCAACCTATTCCTCTCCAACCTCTCCTCCTCCAACCTCGCCATCTCCTCGGCGTCAATCTCCCTGGTCCCCCTCCTAAACCTGTCCCTGACAAACAAAAACCACACAATGACCGAAATGATGGCCAGCACCAGCACCGTAACCCCAACCGCGATTCCTGTAACGACAGGCCTCGAGATGTCGCCCGGTTGCGCGATCCTTGCGCTTCGAGCAAGGAGGAGCGTTGTTGGGCTCATGAACGGATGCGTTGTCGTGGAATGCTATTTTGGCGCGTAGTGAGATGTGTCTGGAGTGATGGAAATGTCCATGACAACATGTCAAGACTGTCAAGGTCGGGGTCTTCTTTTGTGCAGCTCCCTCCCTTTCCCCCTTCACGTTGCATCCAAGAAAACCCATCCCCAACGGCGTTACCAAGCCAAGCATCGTCAACTCTTGCCCAAACGACAACAAGCTCGCTCGCTTAACCCCAAACCCCAGACACAGCTCGCACAGATCACCCTCTTTGGCAACCTCCCTCTTCTTGGCGCACTGAACATGTCAAATCATCTTCGTCTTCATTAAAGTGTACTAAAATATTCTGGTATATATATCATGTCATATCTCGTTCATTCCCCCTTTTTCCTCCTCCCCTCACCACTTGAGAACAGCCTTGATGGCGCTACCCGTCTTGCTGTCCTCAATGGCCTTCTCGTAGTCCTTGAAGTCGTAGTACTTGATGAACCTGTCGAGCGGGAAGTTGCCCTTTTGATGCTGCTCGATGAGATAGGGCACAAACTGGGTAACGTCATGTCAGTCAACGCCCAAAGCAAAGGGAAAAAGGGGGAACTGACCTCCTTGGGCAAGCTGTCACCCTCACAGCACCCGACGTACTCCTTGCCATAGGTCAAGTGCTCCATGATGTCAACAGCAACGTTGTTGCCTGGACCGGGAGCACCTACAGTGGAAGCTCTGCCGAGAGTACCCAGAGAGTCAATCATGGTCTTGATCACAAACGGCACACCAGTGGCATCAACGGCGTAGTCGCAGCCGTTCGACTGGCAGATATCCCGAATCTGCTGCACGACATCCTTGGCGTTACCAAGCACACCGTGAGTGGCGCCCAGCTCCTTGGCCAAGTCAAGCCTCGACTGCTGCAGGTCAACAGCGATGACGATTCTCGCCTTTCTGATCTTGGCAGCAGCCATGACCGCAGCCATGCCGACCGACCCAACACCAAACACAGCAACAGTGCTGCCCTCCTTGACGTTGAGAGAGTTCAACACGGCGCCGGCGCCAGTCTGCATGCCGCAGCCCAACGGGGCATAGAGGGCAAGGTCTGTCTCAGCAGGGACCCTCACCACAGATGACCGGTGGACAAGAGAGTGTCTGGCAAAGGAAGACTGTCCAAAGAATGTGCTGTAAATGGGCTCACCGCCGGGCTTGGTGAGCATGGCAGAGGAGCCATCTGGGCGGGCGCCGCCAAAGTTGCGGTCGTTGAAGGTGTGGCAGTAGGCTGGGTGGCCGGATGTACAAGCAGCACATGTCTCGCAGTGAGTAAAAGAGAGGAGGACTTTGTCACCGGGCTGGACATGGGAGACAGCGGAACCAGTCTGGACGACGACACCACCACCTGTGAACAACAATGGTTAGACGGCTCCCAACAAACCGGCGCGTAGGGACAGAACCAACCCTCATGACCAAGAACAGCGTTGGGGCGGCATGGCAAGATGCCAACGGCGCATGACAGATCGGTGTGGCAGAGACCGGAGGCCTGCATCTCTACGAGAACCTCATCGGCCTGGAGGGCATCGAGGTAGACTTCGCGAAGCTCAAACTTGCCGTTGAGCTCGGGGGCAACGAGAGCAGTGGTGGTGCGGGACATGTTGACTAGCTGGCTTGTGGATGTGATGGTAGATCTGTATGGGGTATCGCTATCTCTCTCTTGCGAATGGAAGGACGGGGTGGATGAGATGAACAGTAGTACTGGATTTCCTGCTTTGGGACCGGGCGAGTAGACATTATCGAGTGGGTAGCCCCATCTCGGTCGGCTTCAGTTCGCGCCCAGGGTCGTCGATGGCATCCCCCCTTCCCCCGCATAAACCGCCAAACCCACCCCCTCTTTCAGTCGTGTTCATCCCAACCCCATGCTGTGCCCGACGAGCCGCTCGGCAAGTGTCGCAATCCGGCAAGGGGTCCGCTGTCTGTTTGGCTGGAAATTTCGGTGGGTCGGCGGCATCGCGTTCGCACAGAGAGCTCTCGATTTTTTTTTTCTGCTCAAAAGTCCGCGGTCGGGGTGGTGGTGGGAGGAGGTTTGTGTTGGGGGCCACGAAATGGCTGGATGTGGGAGGGGGTCACGTTGGCCGGCTTGGGGTTATTGGACTGGCAGCTCGGGCCATTCGGCGCGAAATGACAGCCAAGTCACGGGACCACAACCTTAAAGCGGATAAGGCACTTTGAGGCACACTAGCCGTTTGAAGTCTGGCACGCTAAATTAAAAGACTATTTTGCATTGTGAAGAGACATGGTTTGCTATCGTGGCGTGTATTCACTTACGCCTTAAAGTCTGGATTTTTCTGTTGCACGAATGTCGGGACCCAGGCAGTGTCCACGCGTTGTTGCTTTGCTTGCTTGCCCACGTGTGTTGAGAAAACAATCTGGATGTTCTGATTGGCGGTTATCAAAGCATCACAGACCACACGGCTCAACCAGACAACTGGAAGCACTAACCCAGGAATCCGGAGAGAACCCCATGCGGCTCCATCGTTGACAGTTGCGAAATGGATGGCCACCACGGACGCCGGTCTTGGCCCGATATCCGCTCCTACCCGGCCGCCTGAACCGCAGGGTTGTGTCAAGAAAAAGTTATGATGGGCACCTGGTGATGATGTTATGCATAGTCTTGTCCGGCCTTGACAGCCCACGTGCCCGCCTCATCTTGAAGCATTTTCCCAGCTGCTTCCCTTCTCACCCCCCACAAAATAGCCACTAAACAAAATCGACGAAGCCTGAAAGAACGAGACCCAGTGGAGATGCCACGACCGCCCAGAAAGCAACAGAAGACGGGACCGAGCGACATTTGGCTTCTCATCAGTGGCTTCCCCCGGGGAACTCGGGGCCGACGAGATCGCTCACTTTTTTCGGTCAGGTTTCCCTTCTGCTCCAATGGACCCCCGGCGATTACTGAGTGATGGAGCCCTACGTCACAGGGACTCGTCGAGAACCCAGCGCCCTGCATCTGCCGGCCTTTTAGCGCACCTGGCCGGGCGCGGCAAGCTGGGGAAGTCTGGGGCCCCCCTGCCAACTCAATATCAACCATCGTCGGGGATGAGTGGGAGGGCTGGACGGCGCACAACGGCAGGTAGGTGAGGCCTTTGTTGGTGATGAATGCCGAACACCGATTATTATTGATTTGTGAGTGAACAAATTCGCTGAAGCGAGACGAGGGCTGGCCACGGCACACACTTGTCCACTTTGGTGTTGATGTTGTAGTCAGGAGAATAGATACTTGGAATAAACAGTGGTAATGATATTTGATTATCCAAGCTTGGAAACAGACAAACAAAGACAATGCTGTTAAAGTTCGGCTAATGTGAGGTTTCATAATAAATGTACCAACCATAACTTCGTACTTTTTTCTGTCGTCGTGTGATAATTTAAGAGCCCGAGAATGCTAGCCCCCTTCAAGCCCGCAAAGGTGAAATTTGAATTTTTGATGAACGCAAGTCGGTTGTTGTCTTGTCATGTCATTTTCGAAAACATTATTAAAAAAACAGAGTATATTTTCTCAAGTTGGGGTTACTTGGGAAAGACCACTTTTCCTATAACAAAAAAGAGGAAGCTACCGAATCAGTCACAAAACAAAAATCATCACAGATGACAAAAAGGACATCACAGCACATGCAAAAGACCAAAAGTAATGGTAAAATGTCAATTCGTGATCGATGCCGCCCTTCATAGACGCCCACGACTCCGTTCCCTAATTATCAAACTTGACTAGGTATCCAAAAAGGGATGTCCAAAACCCATGCTCGCTTCCCTGACTGCGAAACATACCCTGATGATGATGATGCTGATGATATGCTTGACTCCCCTGCCTGTTGTTCCCATACATGAAAAAAAGAGGAAAAAAGAAAATGTTCATTATTGTACACGGCCAAGGCTCTATGCCTTGCGGGACCTGGCGGGGCCGAGGGGGTTGACCTTCCACTGCTTGGTGACGGGGTCGATGCACTCATCCTGGGCCTGCTTCCACTCGTTGATGACGATCTGCTTGCGGGCCTCGGAGCGGGGGGTGATGGTGCACTTGAACTCCTCGGGCTGGCAGACGAAACCCTGCGTGAGCTTCTCCTGGTCGGGGAGGATGGTGTTGCCCTGGGCGTCAACGTAGGGCTTGATGTCAAAGGCCCAGAGGATGCGAGAGATACCAAGGAACAAGCTGCGCTCGGCGACGTGGATACCAGGGCAGATGCGACGGCCAGCACCAAAAGTGAACTGATCACGCTTGGTGTAGTCGGGGTTGGCAGCGGCGTCACCGAGGGACTGGAAGTCGTTCTCATAGCGGTCCGGGTTGAACTTGCGGGGCTCGGGGTGGCGCGCAGGGTCCATGTGGATAGCCCAGACGTTGTTGACAACACCGGCGTTGGCAGGGATCAGGTAACCGTCATAGTAATCATCCTTGGTGACAGCGTGGGGGACAGCACCCATGATGGTGGTGGGCATCCAGCGAAGAGCCTCCTTCATGATCTGGCGAATGTACTGCAGGTCCTGCTCGTCATCCATGGTGGGCAGACGCTTGTCACCAATGACGCGGTCGATGATCTCCTGGGCGCGCTTCTGAACCTCGGGGTAGAGAACCATGGCCTGAATGAAAGCGTAGAGAGTGCTGGAGGTGGTGTCGGAGCCAGCCTCGAGGAGGGTGCCAGAGATGTAGGCAGCCTGGTCGTCGTCAAAGCCCTCGGTCTTTTGAGCCTCAACCAAGTCCTCAGAGAAGCAGCGAGTGATGGTGCCGTTGAGAGTGTCCTGCTTGGCCTTGAGCCAGTGACCCAGATAGAGAGCCTTCTCCTTCTTGTGCAACTCCTTGGCCTTGACACGAGCAGGGAGCATGAAGTCGGGGAGGTAGCGGATGATGGGGAAGAAGTCCATGAGGCCGGCAGCACCAGTCTGGTTGAGCTCGGCGAACTCGCCGAAACCGTCAAAGAGCTGCATCATCTTGGGGTCATCGTAGGTCTCGCTGCGCCAGCCAAAGACCATGGTGGTGGTCAGAGAGTTGGTGTAGCGACGGACGTGGTACATGGCGCGCTCGGGGGTGTTGAGGATGTCGAAGAGCATCTGCTTGTTCTCGAGCATCTGGTAGGGGACGTAGGACTTGGCGGCAGAGATGTTGAGAAGGGTGTGCACCATCTTGCGGCACATGCGCCAGCGAGGGGTGTAGCCCATCATGAGAATGCGGAGGTCACCACTGCAGAGAGTCTGGCCGAGGTACATCTCCTGACGATGCGAGTACATGTTGCTCTTCTTGTCCAAGAGCTCCTTGACAGCCTTGTCGCTCGAGAGAACGATCATGACCTTGGTACCGAGAATCAAGCTGTAGACTGGGCCATATTCACGAGCCCACTTCTCGAACTGAAGATGAGCATCCCGAGTGGGCATCTGTCATGCCGAGTTAGCAAACCGGAGGCTCCAAGTGCGAATGGGCAAAAACAAACCAAGTGAAGATTGCCCAAGATGGGAATGGTAGGAGGTCCAGGAGGGAGGTTCTTGGGCCGGCGACCAATGGTCAGGAGTTTGGCCAACAGAACCACCGTCACAATGACGGGGAGGATGTTGAGAATGACAGCCATGGTGCCGACAAGCGCAGAAGCAGAGCAAAGACGCAAGTGACAAAGTCTAAAGAAGCTGTTGTTGCTGTTTCGTCACCTACGCAATGCGCTGGTTCTTGTCGGATGCTGAGTCGAGAAAGAGTTTGAGGTGATGGGAGGAGAGGATTCAAGTACTCGGCCATCTGGTGTTGACCTCTCGGGGACGCCTCGTCTGCTGGCATCCCAAGACCCCAGAGGACCCCGCAATCCCAAAAGGCGTTGATCTCTGTCGGAGCCGAATGGGAGTGACAAGGTGCCAGGGTTCTGGGTATGGGGCTACATTAGCGCACGGTGCGGAGGTGGGATAGTGTTTTGCGGGGTGAAGCTGAGATCCATGGCGGCCCACCGCGCGGAGATAGCGGTGGTGATGTGGGAGGCCGGATCGGCACGCTCATTTTTCCGGCTTCCCAAAACAGAAATCAAGAGCATTCTCAATCCTACGTGGCATTGGAAAGAGCAATCTGTCCTTCGTGATCCTTCTCGCTCCCCGGATCTCCCCGCAATCTCTCTCCTCGACCGAGGTGTGCTCGAGTCAGCACTCGGGTATCACAAGGGCACGGGTTGACAGAGATTCGCAAACCCCCCAGCTCTTTACGTTTACTCAACGTTGAACTTTTGAAAGTCCGTGATGAGGTCGTTGACCTGCCGCATGCTCGTCTGGTCGTACTTGTCCAAGATTGGCTCAACCCTTGCCGGCTTGGTGACGGCTCCCTGGTCGCCATATTGTTCGGGTGGAGAGGCACCCATGTGAGGGTGACGGGCCATGGGCTTTGAAATCGTCGCAGAGAGGCGATTTGTGAGTAGACTCCCGAGAAGCCAGTACTCGGCCGAGAACCGGACAAACCCGATCCGCTTCCAGAGCATCTCGGGAGGCAGATTGTGATCTTGCAGGAGCCCGTGGGGCCAACATGATGTCGACATGTCAAAACACCTCTCCCATATGGTGATCCAGTTGTCCAACGCATTGCGAATCGGTATGAGTTGGCCTTCGACGCCAAACAGATTTTGGTGTTGGAAGATCATGTAATGAATCGCTGTATCCACTGTCATCAGCATGAAGCACCGGGGTGCAAGAGGAAGTGGAGCGATATGCTTACCCGAAACCGTTGCGAACAGGTTGACAGGACCTAGATGAGAAAAGTGCCGGTGCATTTCGGGGGACATGGGACCAATGCAAAGCTGCTCAATTGCATCGCGAAGGAGCATGCCCCCAAACGGACTTGATGGAGGCATCCATCGATGGATCTCTGCGAGACACGCCTCTGCGCTAGCGGCCTGGAAACACACCTCCGGGCTTGCCATGTGCATTTTCATCTCCTTGATCACCATGCGATGGGGCAGGTTGTTGAAAATGACGAATGCCGTGTCGACAAGGAATATCCACAAGAACGTGCTGCCAGCAATGTTAGGAACTCTCTAACAGTCAAGTCGAAGTCAACACTCACCGAATAAGTTCCTCCCGCACGACGAACTCCATCCAGTTGAAATCATGCTTGAACTGCCTGCTGTAGTCAGGATGTCGAGCAGTGTCGATACCCAGATCTCGCGCCACCTATCCAGTGTCAGCAAAAGTAGAGAAAGCACCGGGGGTTCCATCACTTACAGACACCACTGTGCTGAACCGATGGCGGCGAATCCTCCTCTTCCCGGCATCAGTTCCTTCCCAATTTTGGTACAGACATACAATGTACGAGGCTTGTAGTGCTTGGAGCTTGCGGCGGCTGGCAAGCACACTTGTTGGGGAGGTGACTTCTGTGCTAGGCTCAATATCCCTACAGAAGTCGTCATCTGTAAAGACCATCTCCTCCACACAGTTGAACCACACCTTGGCATCCTCATTGTCCGCTGGGTCTGGAGAAACGCACGCTCCTATTTTCATGTGTCAGAAAAGAGACGGCGTCCCAATACCAAGCATGGACTAAACTAACCTATGAGAGCCATGGCTGCCAAGAGGATGGACTTGCACGTGGTCGGGTCAAAGGTTGGGCGATGGAGTATGTTCACGTTCGGATGCCAGACTGACCAGTATAGCTCGATGAACTTGGCGAACCTCGATGGCGAGAAGAACTGAAGACACTGCTGTTCAAGGGCGGCGGACCACGTGAGGGTGACAGTGCTATTGTTCGGCTTGACCGTGACAACATTTTTGATTAGTAGGACCACCTGCTGCAGTTTGATTACTATAGGGTTATGGAGCCATAGTGACCAAGATGAAAGGGTGTTGCTGCCGGACACGCCACTAGCCGTTAGTGCGGCGGCAGTTGGGTCGTCTAGTGGCATGAAGAGAGGTGGAACGGCACCCAAGAATTCTGGATGTTGGCGTTCTAGGTAGGAATTATGAAATGCCGCCACGATCTGGTGACGCTGAGCCAGAGTAGCACATTCGAACGATGAGACCAAACCAGTCCGGCTGGTGAAGTCGTACAAGAATCCAAAAGAGTAGCCTCTATACTCTGAAGTGGTTGAGCTTGGGCTCAGCTCCCGCTGGAAAGCCTCGGCTTGGTGATCTTGCTCGGTGAGGCCGTCATGCCCGCCGGGATTGGGTTGGTGGGAGAAGTCGATATCCAGCCATCCGTCCGGCATGGAGTGGTGACCGTCAAGAACAGGAAATGTTGTGACGGCTTGGTGGATCAGGGCATCGAGATCGTCATAGGGCACATCATCAAAGGTGGACGCTGTGCCGTCGTCCATGCTGCCGCCGTGAGTCGAGACGATGGCCGAGGAAGCATCGTCAAAGGTCTGGTGGTGGTGGTGGTGGTGGTGTATCGGGGCTGGTACCGGTGGGAGCTGTGGCATGATACGGGGAAGAGGAGGAGGAGCTGAGGAGGTCTCTCCCAGGATGGAAGGGGGTCCGGGGGCGGAGACAGGAGGAGCAGGGAGGGGGGCTGCGCTATTGCTGGCACCGTTACTGGCACCGGCACCGGCAGAGCCGCCATAGGTGCACTCGACACCTCTCTTTTCGCAGTTGAGACACGGCTGGCCCGAGTTGCAGGCCTTCTTCTGGCGAACACAGCGGTCACAGGCACGACGACGGCCCGAGGACGAGTTGGCGGCGCCGTCACAGGTCTGGAGATGGCGCTTCAACACATCGGTCCGCTGGAAGGCAGCATTGCAGAGGATGCAGCGGTGGGGTCTCTCGGATGTGTGCGTGCCGCGATGGCGCTGGAGGTGCTCTCGCCGTTTGTAGGTCTTGAAGCACACGGAGCAGCGGTGGAGTCCTGAGGTGTCGGCCATTGCTGACATGAGACAGTAGCATTCCCTTGCCTTGTTGGAGCCCTGAGATGCCGATGACAGATGACATGGGGATTTGGGGAAGAAAAAGGTCGATAGCCGAAACCAAGACAGGACTGGATCTTTCAAAAATGCGGGGGGTGGGCCCTGGTGGATGATTTTGTCCGTCCGCGGTGGGGGCCACTTGACTGGAACAGACATCGCCCTGTTGTGCCAGCCAATCAGCGCCTAGAGATATGTCCGTTCAGGGGATCAGCGCTCGACCGAAGCCCCATAGAAGCGGCAAATTCCACGAGCCGAGGGCGGTGAGGTCAACGTCATGTCACCATTTCACACTATGTCTTACACCCGACTTATAATATGGCAGTATACGAATGCTCATGACTCGATTCGAGCTCTATACCTAATTCTCGAGATGGGGTTTCCAGTTCGAGCAAGATCATGTGTTCAAGATTACCTTTGTCCAGTACAATTGACAAGAATATATATGCGCCAACATCACCATGTAACAGACCAAAATATCGTGGTACCAACATGTGTAGGTGGCGGCAAGGTCAGATGTCTTCCGCTGCAATGTGGTCATCAGTATTTTCTTCTTTAAACTCCAATGGCAGAATGTTGGTAGTAGCACGAGCTCCCTATGTTGTTCAGAACGTGATAAGTGTCAAATGTGTACATGTGAAGAGGTTCGTTATGTGTTTTGACTGTGAGATCGTGACCTACTATCATCAGCATCCGCTGCTCTTTCTGTTATGACACAATAAATCATTCATGTTCACTGGTATTTATTGCTCCCAGAAAGTGGTTGCCCGAGGCCAATCTTCCCAGTGAACCCTGATGGGTTGCTCCAGTTAAGATTCATTCTTTTCATCCCATTCTTGGAGCATGATCAGGTTCGTCCCACAGTTATTCACTTAGATTGTATTGTTCCCAGACTCACACTGTACAATGGCAACTTTTTCACCATGGCGGGGTCCATGATGGTAACAGGAGCAAGTTGGAGATCTTGAGAGTTTAAATTCTTCCTCCTCATCCCCCCAACTCTTCTCCCCACCATCGTATCAGTGACCTTCACATCCCGAGAACTCAAAGTTTACCCAGTTGCCGTCATCAAAACCATCAAAGAAACATTCCCTCTTCACTGTAAGTCCAATGTGAATTATCGACAGACAGGCGTTTCCTGACGACAAAAAAGCCAAAGCTAGGTACCTCAACTTCTGCCTCCGCCTCGAATTCTCGACGAAGGACATCCTCGGCTAGATCGATTCCGCGCAACAATCCAATCTTAGCTTCCCAAGAAACCTCGACTTTCTCATGCCAATATTGTCGCCTTTCAGATAGCAACATTGACCTGGGATCACACGTCGGCTCTTGCCTTAGAACCAATGTCCTCAAAATACCTGGATTTTTCCTCAGATATTAACTTTAACGCAGGAACAGCGTGTGATTTCTTGATCCAGTTTTCAGGATCAATCTCCTCACAACAATCTCATTAGCAGTGTTGGTCTCGCAACAGTACAACAGTTCAGCCTTCAACCACCCGCAGGCCTTGGTCTATTTAAGCAAAAACCCATCCCGACGACTCTCCGATCAAACTTTTCCTCATCATTCGCATTCATCAGCAAAATCTCATCTGTCCATCAACCAGCTAAGACTTTGCCACGAATACCAATACATCACTCGGACCCAACAATCATCATGGATTCTCAGAGAGTGCTGTCCCTTTGGGACCAAGCTGCCCTCCGAGGCTACATGTTTTGTTGCCCTCTGCTTTCCTACCAGCCTCACCGCTAAGCCTCCGGGACATGACATCGTTGGCCGCATCAGGCATTCGCTCAGGCGGCTCGCTTTGGAGCGGGCAGAGTTTGCCGGCAATCTCACGGTGCAGCACACCAACGTTGTTCTCCAGCAGACCAAATCGTACTTTATCCCCTTGGAGGTGCTCCACACCCCCTCTGACGCCCCCTCTGACACCCTCTTTAAGATGTCTTACGATGAGCTGGCGGCCCAAGGCTTCCCGGCCAAGGCTTTCGTCCATCCTGACTTCACTCTGAACATTCCTTTGGAAGAAGGGGGTGAACCTGTCCCGGTCTCTAAATTCCGGGTTCTCTTCCTCATCGAGGGTGGGTTCGTTCTCTTTGTCAACCTCCACCATTCTTTTGCAGACGGATCCAACCTGGCTACTTTCCTTGAGCTTTTTGGCAAGGCCACCGTCGCTGAGGACAAAAATGACCCCATCGGTGCTTACCAACCAGCCAACGTTTGGCTGAGCCTTCCCTTTGAAAAGTGCGGCAAGGACTTCTCGAGCCTCCTGGCCAAGTGTCCGGAGTACGCTCTGCTGGACGAGTCTACCGGCCCGACCCAACCCATCCTCTCGACTCTCCCCAACGCTCCTGAGACCAATGATGTTGGCAAGACTTTCATTATCGATCTTGACAAGATTACTAACCTTTTCGACAAGTCGTTGAAGATCTCGGCCTTTTTCGGATTTTCTGCCATTGCTTGATCTCACATCGCCAGGGCCCGTCTCTCCGGCATGGAACCTGTTCAGCAGTGGGCTTTCCGGAACCAGGCCCCGGCCTTCTGGAACCCCGCTGACTGGTCCAACAAGTTCAAGAAGCTGTTCGCCGAGGGGGAGTACGCCGACAAGTACTTTGATGCCATCCAAGGCTATTATTACGGTAACTCGGTGACCCTTCCCATCACTCGTGGACCCATCAAGGTTCTCGACCTCTTTCTGCTTGCCGTTGGAACACCCACGCCTCGGGTCGCGACAGCCTCACCAAGATCGCCACGGCCATCAGGGCCGCCAACAAGGCCGTCAACGAAGACTTCATCCTCACCCGGACCGCTCTCTTCCACAACACCCCAGATATCCGCAAGCTAAGCATGAACCTCGACTCTCGTGGTCCCCAGCACTTGTCAGTCAACACCTGGGGCTTCTTGGGCACCGAAGCCAAGTTCTTCTTCCCCGGTCTCAGAAACGCTGTGACCGGTGGTGATGGTGTGAGAGCTGAGGCTGTCTGCCGTGTTCAGGGCGCGTGGGCCAAGGCTCCTCACTGCCTGGTTCTCCCCCATCGCCCCGCCATCAACCCCAAGAAGGAATGGGAGGTGTTGATTACTCTTCCGGAGAAATCCATGGAAACTCTGCTCGCTGACAGCACATTTATGTCTGTCGTCAAAAAGGTTGTGGAGTAGGGGTTTATTACCATACAGGGCGTACTTTGGCGGTATTCCTATCCATACAGGGATGGCGGATTTTCACGGGTGCTGGACATAGCGAAGAGGTGGATAACTGATTAATAATAATTAATATTTTTTATGAAACAACAATTCCCAACGTACCAATGCATTCGTGATATCATGTCTATTGTAGAGGTGTGGCCAGGTTCAAGTCGCCCTATTTCTTTTTGATGATGAACATAGTAGTAGGATTTGACACATAAAATGAGGCTATTCTCGTCTCATCAAAACCTCCGTCGACCGGTGTCTTTCATTGTTCACAGAACACATCGCATGTGTATCGTACAAAGGGGGGTCGCCAGGGTTAGGGTCCCCTTATTTTTGGCCAAGAACACGCCAGGTGAAAACGCGGAAACGCCGACAGAGAATAGAGAATGAGAAAACCAGCACACCATCGATATGAAGGCAGCCCAGCGCCGAGGTGAGAGTAAGTGTCACATCAAAAAATCCAACAGCTTTGTCCGACCTGCCATGTGGTTACAGTCGCCCCACAAAGAAAGAGTGCCTGGCGTGCCTGGGAAGGCGCAGCAGCAAGTTCCAGAGTGGAGTGACGTATTGGATCCAACCACAATGCGAGAGCCGATCAACGGCCTCCGTCTTTCATCGACAAGATGACGGGTAACGTCATTCGATGCCCGTTTGTAAGGCGCATTCCATTCTTGGCTTCAATACAAATAAATACAGAAGGATTTTCTCTCTGGGCGACCCTCTGCCAGGTTCAATTCTCCTGCATCGTGAAGAGACCACTTTCACTCTTTGAACAAGATCGTAACACACAACCAACAAACCCCAACCCCACAGTATCACCAAAAAAATGGCCGACCAAGTCCGCGCCAAAATCACGGCCGCCGCCGCCAAAAACAAGGAACTCCTTGCCATCCTCCAACAAACTGACCACGCCATCCCCTCACTAGAACAACAGCGCCGCCTCGTCAAGGATCTCGAAGGCGAGGTCAGAGCCTCAGACGCGCGCGTCGCAGCGGTAGACCGCAAGCGCAAAAAGGAATACCACGAACATGAGAAATACCGTGACTCCGTCCTCAAGCGCTTTGCTTACAAGGCTACCGGCAAGCGCGAAAAGTTTGAACAGAGGGCTGCCAAGGAGGAGCAAGAGTATTTTGAGGCGCTTCAAGAAGAACACCGAGAAACGGAAATCAACAAGGACGTCAAGATTCAGTTGCAGGAGGCGAGGCGAGTGGCTGCTGACTTGGAGAGGGATGTGGCGAGACATAACGATGTGCAAAAGCAGTTGGATGAGCTGTACGGCAGGATCTTTGGCGGGCCGACACCGGGGTATCCGGAGGAGGATGAGCAGGAGCGGGAGGCCAATGCAAGGACTCAGGCGTACCAGGCTACCAAGGGCAAGTCAGAGGCGGAGAGGCAGGCTTTGAAGATTTTGGGAGAGGGTCAGTTGAGGATGAAGAGAGCGCTGGGCTTCATGGAGGAGGCGTTGATGCACTCGAGGCGGGATATGTTTGGTGGCGGGACCTTTACGGACATGATGGAGCGAAATGCGCTGTCGCAGGCTGAGAGGGAGGTCATGTCGGCAAACATGCTGGTGATGCAGGCTCAGCGCATGAGCCCAAGAGTCACCAACCTGCCGCAGGTCAATATCGACCAAGGCAACTTGATGATGGATGTATTCTTTGACAACATTTTCACCGACATGGCGTTCCACGACAAGATCAAGGCTTCAAGGGAGAGTGTGTTGCGGGCAGCCATGGCGATGGACGGGCAGGTTGCCGCTGCAAGGCAAAGGGTGGCCCAGTTCGAGGGACAGCTGAGGGTGGAGGAGCAGAGTATGAGGGAGGCTCGCGAAAAGCTGCAAAAGGTCAGAGAGAGGGTGTTTGAGACTGTGGCAGCAAGTACACCACCGCCGGCATATGAGCCTTGAGATTGTACTCTGAACATTTCCTTCTTTTTTTATCGATTAAGATAGATAGGTAACCTTATGCTGAGATGATGCGCGGCTGCTGCGCTGCCTTTGTCCCCCCTCCCCACTCTGCACATCGGAAATATGCTTTGAGCTACTGCCCACCCGTTGACAGCCGGCCAGTTGAATTGCATGCAGGTCGAGGTGGGCCCCTTTTCCGACAGCGATTTTCTCCCTGATGGCTCCTTCTTCGTAGTTGTTGGCAGATGGATGCGATGGTGCGTTACCTTAGGTGGTAGCCTTGTTACAAATCTGGTCCCCTGACCCAGAACGGCTTAGCGACTCCGCCTTCTCCGAGGCCCGCCTGGCTCCTGCCTTCTCCTATCGAGCACTGCTGTCCTGTCACTCGAGCAAACGAACGCACAAACTTGGCAGAATTTGCGTTCAAATTTCCATTCTTTGCATCTTTGTTATTCTTTTCTTCTCCGTTGCCCACTGTATTGGCGGAGACTGGCGTTTGTTTGGCTGTGTGACTGGAGGCTGCCCCGGCTTCGCGAAGCCGAGGCCACCCTTATCTATGCCCCGAGAGTTGCTACACCGCACATAGAGTTCTTAGCCCTACCTTACTTGCTTTCGTACCTTAGACTCGCAGCCACAACGTGCCGGCCGACGCCAACCTTGGCTGCCTTACCGTCTGGACATCAGCATCGCCAATCCACCGCGCGCTCCATCTCACATGCACTTGAGCTGTTGCTGTCAACATATATAAGGTAGCTCAGTTTCATCGCTACAATGCCTAGAGTAACAAGGCGGAGTACAAAGCGAAGTAAGTCCTCATATTCTACCTGGGCGACCACAACTTCTTAACACCACTCGCTACACAGAGGCGGAAGAGGAAGTGGCGGACAAGACGGCGGTAACTAGCACGAATCAACAATCGCTTCCCAATACAAAGTTTGGGCAAGCTTCTGAAGTTATCACTAGATACTTTGGAATCCAAGGTGTCCCAAGGCGGTTCACCAAACCGAGTAGTGATAATGGCTCAACGGACAGTATTCACAGCTGCCCACCAAGTTCTGAGGATGAGTACGAGGACGAGGTGGCCAATGTAGAAGACATGCAGTCTGAACCAGCACCCCAACTGCAAGAAGGTACCGAATCATCCACGTCACTAGTCACCGAGTGGCTATCCACGACTCCCGAACCGGACAAGGATGACACTCGCTCTATTCCATCGCCTTGGAAAACACGAAAGACAACGTCTGAAACGAGCACACTGTCAGCCTCGAAAGAACATCAGCCTTGTTCACCTCTCAATTCGCAAGACCTATACCATCAGAGTGATTCGATGGACATTGATCCGCCAAGATCGCCGCAACAGACATCACTCAGCTTCAAACCCATCGAACCGCCTTCAACCGACTTTGAGTTCCAGGTCCAGTACAACACCATTTCAGGAAACAAGCTGAAAACCCGATCACTCTCTCCATATGTTAGCGGCAGTCCTCTAGGCGGCGAATCTGAATTGGTTCAACGTCCTCATTCAATACCTCCCGAGCGAACTACACCCAACCTAGTCCTCGAAACAGTGTTGGGTTGCTCCGACTTGCTTAATAGAGGGGATGCCTCAGCTTCACAGGCTGACATCAGCGAGTTTTTGGTTGACGATCAACTTCACCTGCCAATCCTGTCTGGTGAACAGATACCAACAACTGAACATCAGATTTCAGCATGGAACCCTTCATCTTCACGCGGTTCCAGTCCTCTATCGTCACCTCCCGACTCACCGACCATGCAATTGCTTGATATGATAAACTTTCCATCCGTCTCGGCTACTCCCTCAGTCCTGGAATCTGCCGGCTCTGCAACACTTCCAACGACCGAGGCGTGCTTCGAACCCGGAACTAGCCCAGTGTATGAGACGAGCGTGCAAGCCCTAGATCAAGCTATTGTTGTTCCGTTATCCGCTCAGCCAGCACCCATCCCAGATCACTCCTATCTACTTCGGCCATCTGTGCAATCAGCACCCGCCCCGGTTCGACATGCTGTCCCTTTGAGCAAGATGGACAAAGTACCTAGGGTCGCAAGTCAAGTCCCCAAGAAGCGAGCACTAGTTGTAGGCTCAAGGGAAGAACGCGACATCCTGGTGAGACTGTATGTGCAAGAGGCCGGCGAGCTGACAACAATAAAGACTAAGCTGTCCTATCTCGGTAATCGAATTGGACAGGTCAAGGGCGTGAAAGAGACCGACAGGATGCTGAGAATTCTGGGGCAGGCGGAAGATGATGGCGAGTTGACACTGAGGTCTATTCACAGAAAACGGGCGGAGGAAATTAGGCAGCGAGATGCCAAGGTTGACGGTCAGAGTGGGAAACAGGTCAAGAGTGGTGAAGGACGCAGTGGGAGTCTTTCAACTTCTAACATCAAGAATACTGTTGGGGATGGCGCTGGTGCTGCTAAAGTTGGGGCTGAGGACAGCACTTGCACTGATATTCCCATGACTGATGTTGGGGACAAGGTTGATGTCGACAGCGGTGCCAATCTTGAGCAACCCGCGGTTACTAAAGGCAAGACTGCGGCTAAGGAGGAGCATATTGAGGATATGATCTATGTATGCATGGGACTCTTTACAAGCCGGCAGGATCTGGCTAGGACGACGAAGGCGGCCGGGGCGAACGCAGGAAACGGCACGGCCGGGAATACCTTGGAACCATGGGCGCTTCACACCTGCGCTAAATGCCGACTTTGGGCGATAGAGGAAGAAGGCATTTGATAGAGTGGTACGAGATAGATAGTCGTTGCTCGTTTCTTCTTGTTGCTCTTCATTAGAAAGCTCAATCATGACCTTGCTACAGAATACCTGAAACATGCTTCTGGAAGCGACGCGCAGTCACCTTGTTATTGATATGTGATGATCTATTAATAAGTCACGTATAGATGCGATAAAGTGTATTTTCTTCCTAATTCAGGTCACCACCCTGCTGTCAAATGTTCAGGGAGCCGCGGGGGCAGTCTCAACAATCTCCACATATCGGAGAGTGATCTCGTACTTGGTGTCGGACGGCGCCGAACTCGTCGAAGACATAAAGGCCGCGAGGTCTCCAACGGGGTACATCCACCCGCCAACACGATACAGAACAACCGGAGCGACTGTGTTGGTGGTTCAGCAAACTTTGTCGGTTTCTTGAAAGGGGATTGGGGCCAACAACTTACCGCTTCCATCGGGGATGACCCAATTCCAGCCGATTGAGCCTGTCTCTGTGTCCAGAGTCCACTGTTACCAAGAGGTGGTTAGCAAGCGTGACCCACCAGATCAAAAGGGGCAACGTACAATGTCCGTGGCGTGGCAAAACTGTGCGTCGCAGACATATGGTTCGTTGGCGGATGCTGTTGGTTTTAGAGGTTAGCATTCTCACCATTCCTTGGGGGGCACATATGCAGGCGGCGGGGAACTCTTACTCAACGGAACGTAGTCCGTGCTGCCACTAAATGGTGATAACAAAGCACACGTTAGTTTGTCTGGCTCAACAAGGGCAGTGCGGCACATACTAGTACGTCTCTATCCTGGTGGTCCCGCCCGCAGTCCTGAAACCGAGCGCCCGGGTGGCCTCACCGCCGACTGGTTGAATCCTGATGCCGGAGGAGGAGGTGCTCTGATCATCAGGGACGGTGATGGTAAAGCGGCGGGCGCTGTTTTGGTTAGTGGCGATGTTGGGGCTGGCAGCGTTGGAGATCCAGCCGACGGATTGACCTGTGGATTTCCTCAGGACTTGGATCGCAACGCTGATGGTTGTTGACGAGGGGGCGGGGGGGGTGAGGGTCTCTGTTGCTGTCACGGTGGACACGAGAGTGGAAATGACGGTTGACGTGGCTGGCTCGGTGACGGTGACGGCGTTGTCTGGGTTGATGTGGGTGATGGTTGTGGTGGACAGGGGGATGGCACTGGACCTGTCGAGGCAGTGGCAGGCTGAGGAGATTCGGGTGTCTGGGTAGGCGTCTTCGCCGGAGGGGAGCCAGGTGGGGAGGGAGGCAAGGGCAGTGTCACGGCGATGCTTCTTGTATTCGGTTACTGCGATCGCTTGCGAGGTGAAAGCAACGGGAGCAGAGACGGTAACGGTGACGGAGGAGATGTCTGAGATGACTTGGGTGACGGTTGTGGCTTGAGTCACGGTGATGACTCTGGGAGTGAGGTCAGTTATCTGAGCTTTTGAGAGAAAAAGAGACTGCCTGACTTACACCTCCTCAGTGGCCGTGACTTCGGCGGTTTCCAAGGGAAGACCCAATACACTGCTGCAGAATGGAAGGGCCTCGGAGAAGACGTCCTCGGAACGCAAGAGCACGAGAAGCTCATCACTCGCCTTGCAGCTGTTGCAGCGAGCAGAAACTCCAGAAATGAGTGTGGTGGCGGCTTGTAGCAGCAACAGCCAGCCGCTTTTGGTGACAGGAGCCATCATGTTTACCTAATTACAACTCACTTGACAAAAGCGACAAAAAGAGGGATCAAACGAGCGACTTGAAGGCGATGACCTTCATGAAGGAAATATATAAACAGCATAAAAACCGCGGGAGTGGCGCGCATTTTGATCATCATCACCTGGACGCAGGGCTGAAAGGAGGTGCCAGGGGTGTAAGCCGTTAGCGCCTCAGTTTGCAGGGCCTGGACCGCTGTAGCGGGTCATCGGCACGCTGAATGGGGAAAGAGGATTCCCATAACTCTGTCAATAGCGCCATCGAAAAGCAGCTGAAAGGCCCTTAAAAAAGAAGCTTGGTGTTCCAAAATTGCATTCGCTACAGTTCCCTGTCTCACGGATATATATTTACGCGTGTTTCCCTCCCCACCACCTGGGCAGGCAGCGTTCTAGAATATCACTTCTAGTTCTCCTCTCTTGACATCTACACCATGATCAAACCGCCAAACACGGCCGCGAGGGCAGTCAAGCCCAAGACGTACACCGACGAAGCCTTGATACCAGCAGCAGCATTGGTGTCGTTGTCTCCACCTTGACCACCAGCATTGTTGTTGTTGCCACCGTTGCCGCCCTGGTTGTTGAGGCCCTGGGGAGCACTTGTTCCATTGCCCCCGTTGGCACCAGTGTCAATCACAAAGTAGGTCGCTCCAATGGCAGGGCCGAGGCCAAGCTGAGTCCTCCAGCGGGAGAGCTATGTCTCATTGTCAGTTTTCACCATGGACATCATCATGACGAGAAGAAAAACCTTACGTTCCAGTTCGCAACCTCCCTCTCCATCCCCACACTCTCAAACCCAGCAGTGTTAAACCTGGCCGGCTGGGTGTACAAAGCCATGATGTACCGATGCACGCCCGAGTTGGCATCTGGCTTCGGCGCAGTAAAGTTGGTAAACGGCGCGCCCGAATTCGGCGGCCTCGCCAACCTCTGCGCCGTGCTCAACACACTCGAGTTTTGCCCGTTCAGCGTGAAATTACCCGCCAACCAATGTCTCAGGTTGCGAGCGGTGGGGTTGCTCCTCGCGGGCGCGTCGGCATCCAACAGATAAATCAGGTACCGCGTCTGGGCGGTGATGTTGGTCGCATTGTTGAGGTTCTCGACGGAAAACTCAATGGGGAGGGTGCTGATCTCGTTGACGGTGAGGGAGGAACCCGGGATGAGGAGCTCGCTGTGGTTGGAGTCGCCTTCGGTTTTGTAGGTGGCATAGAATGACACGGCTGGGTCGAGGGCGGGGATGACTTCGGGGACGATGCCCGAGTTGACAAAGGCGTTTTTGAAGGAGAGGGTAGAAACGGACTCGGCGTTGTCGTCTGCGAGAGAGACGCTGGCCAGGGCCAAGAGGGAAAGGGGGAGGGATTTGGAGACTGTTGGATACATTTTCGAGGTAAATTAGGTAGGTATACTGATCAACAGCTGTGTAGTTGGAATAATAATACAACGCTAGTGTCCGGCACTGCCAGAATGAAACACTCGAAATGACTGAGAAAAGATGGTACTGGAATTGCCAGATGAAGAGAGAAAGAGAAGGAAAACTTCCGATGGATGAAAAGACATGGAGGTAGGTAGATATAAATCCCAAAACCTCGCTCGGACAATTGATCCGGCACACGAACACGGGGTAAAAACATCCGGCCGTTGATCGTGAACCGTTTCCGAGAGGCGCAAAGAGGGGAGATCACACACGCCGTGGCTCTCTTGGCACTGCTACCCCTGACTCCTTTTGCATGTGCGCAGGTGTTTTATCCCAACTCTGCAGCACAGCGACCATGTTTCAGGTTTTCTGTACACTGCCAAATTCATACATTGATGGCGCATCCTGCCTGTGCTACCAACAAAAAAGAAACGTCAAGTCACTAGGGGGGTTTGTTTCCACTTGTGTGCCAAGTTCTTGGAGGCCACGACCACGGGTAAAACGGCGGCCTCATTTGAAGACATCAGACTCGAAGAGAAAATAAAGAGACTAAATTACACGTAATAAAACAAAGGGTATCTTCTTTGAATCAGATTGGGTGACCAAGACAACTCTAACCCCCGGGTTCTTCTTTCTTTTCTCTATCTCTTTCGCTTTTGGGTCAAACATAGTTTTGCCCTTTATCTGGCAAGTCTCTTGGGTGGGCGGGATAAGGAATGGCGATGCCTGGCTCGCTGTAGGAGACAGTCTGTTGTGGGGGTTTCTATTAGCTGATGTCAACAAGACCGAAAGGCTTGGACGAGAACAGAGAAAAACTCACAACATCGTGTTGAACTAGGATCTCCTCCTGGGACTCCATCGCGTCCAAGCTGCCCTGCATCGATTTCTTTTCTTTTGAAATTGATCCCATCCGCACACTCTTACTGATGGATTGCTTGCCGGTGAGCTTGCTTCCTCCTGCAGAATGCTGGTTTGACCGGTTTGCTGAGTTGCGAGAGTGGACGGTGATGAGGACCTTGAGGGCGGGCAGGGTGCCAACAATGACGGCTAACAAGAGTGTCAGTTTTCTTTTTGATCGCCAGCATGACGGAGAGAAGAGAAGAGAGCAACTTACAGATCGAAGCGGCAAGAGTCGACCAGATCATGAGCAATGTCAGATTGACAAACATCTTTTCCACCAACACCTGCTTTGCCCTGATGATGGCAAAAGCAATCATGACAAAACCCAGGCCAAAGACGGCAACCAGTCCGACCTTTTGTCTCAAAGTGACCTTGACGTTATAGATCAACCTCAGGGGCATAGCCATAACTGTTTCCAGCACTTGTCAGCATTGCCATCAGCTTGCCCAAGCTGATTGCGAGAACTCACTGCACAGATCCGTAAAAACATCAATGGTAGTGCTGAAGTAGACACTGAAGTTTGATGCCCACACATGCTCCGGCTTTGCGCATGTCGCAAACCCAAAGAAGTTTTTGACATCGCCCCCGCACGACACCGTCAACGTGACCAAGCACCCTCCATACGCTAGCAAGCAAAACAGCGCCAAAATATACCAAACCCTGCGGTAGACGGGCAAGTCCCGGAAGATCTTCCAGTAGAGAGTCAGAAACGCGGCCTTGACGCTCCAGAGTGTCGACCAGTAAAGAATGACGATGGGAAACTGAAAGAGAAGATAACGCTCCGTTTTTTCAATGATGCCCACTATTGGGGCGGTGCCGGCCAAGACTCCGGCGATGTAGTACAACGAGGGAAGTTGTATCGTTTCGAGGACACATAGCGATAGTAAGCATGTTAGGGCAAAGAAGATGCAGTAGTCGTCAACTGTGGGCGATGATGTTCTTGCTCGGACGGCTGTCCGGAGAGCAACCAGCACAAAAGCTGTTCCAAAGCAGGTCCAGATGATGGCGCGCAGGGTGTCTTCGGGAACGGTGGCCGCGTCGATGGTGTCCATCTTGCCCACGAGGTGTAAGTGAAGGGACGGTCCGGTGTCAGTCAGGTGTTTTGGTGGCACGGGGACTCGCAACAGAGGGCAAAGGAGGGTAAGACAAGGCCATTGGGGGCCCGTGCCGTATATGAAGATGGGGACTCTATCCTGATATTGCGAGGGATTTCATTATGGGCAGCCTGGAAATACATATGGGCTGATGTCGAGCATCAGTGGCGGACTGGAGTGATAGCTCGAGGTGCCATTTACGGCCATTGTTGGCCTCGATCAAAGGAATGTATGCAGGCCAAGACAGCGGCCTCTTCCAACGACCGGGGATAACGCCTCTCGTTCGTCCAACGGCAATAGGGCTGTCACACGGTCTTTTGTTTGCTACTGGTCGGTTGATTTCGATACTTTGGCGCGCTGGGCGAAGACATGTCGACTCTGGCATGTGAGTGGTTGACACAGCTTCGGCAATGAATTGTAAGCCCCGGCTGGACCTGCAGTGGAGGTGCAGGGGAGAAGCAACACAAGAAAGACAGCGACCAGTCAGTTGGAAACTTCCCCGCGTTGTGTTATCGGCACCTGGCTATCGCGCGATGCGATTGGTCGACAAATCTTTGCAGCTGCAGGAGAATTTCCCCCAAAAGGGAAACAGCTCCAAGCGCGCACACACACAACTCCAGCCAGGAACTGGATTCCTTGGAACGCAGCGAAGGCAGCACCAGATCACGGGGTCAGTCATGAGGTGGATTATATCATCCGCCCATGCCCCCCGCCAAACTCGGCGTGCAATTCGTTCCCTTTCGATTTTCTGTTTTTGTTGTTGATGACTCTGTGATGGATCAAATCTGCCTTGAGTAATCCTCTCAAATCCTCAGGTGGCCTTATCGTTCGGCCCAGCCACCGAAAGACCCCGCCCTCAATCACACCTTATCACCCGGTTCCCGACTCACTCCATCCTCCTCCCACTCACCTTTGCCTCACCTCGCGCGTCACTCACCTTTTGGGCATGGTGTGTGCTGGCAGCATGAACACCATTCGACCCAACAAGATTTCTCAGGCACTCAGGGTCTTCCCAGCGGGCCGGGCATCAACTGTTTTTGTTTTTCTGGTTCCTGTCGTCGTCGCACTCGCTTCAGGGCTAACACATTCTGAATGATGTCAGGCACCCCACTGATCTGGCAGACAGCCAAATTCCGAAAAGCCGGAATGCGGCGCATTGTGGTTCGCTGCACCCGCTTCACCACGTCACTCGGGCGCTCGTCCATGCGGGTTTTGCATGGCTCTCTGCTCTTGGACTCGAGGCCATTGGATCAATATTGAATGCATCTTCTCGGTGGCCCAAAGGCACGAATGCCATTCTGACACGACACCGCCCGTATTCGATCACTGCATGCACCTCTCTGTTCTCGAAGCCGTTGCTCTCTGAGCCTAGCGTCAACGCCCCGAACAGGGAACCACGGAGCTGAGCGGAGACACGGCCCCATGTCTTGACCGCCACGTCGCCGAGCCCGACCTTATTGATGGCGATTAAGACCAAAAAAGCAAGGTAAAAAGCCTCAGGAAAATTCCACGAGGTTGGGGAGAAAAAAGCTTGACGCCGTCATCATCTATCTGTACTTAACAATGCCGTCCCCATCCCTTCCACTTCGAGCCCGGGTTTTTCTTCTCGAGCCGAGGAGGAGGGTATGATGGATTGCATCTTGCAGCATACTTAGAACACCATCACAGCGCCATGCTGATGCTCTAACGACACGACCATATCAATAATATTTTTTTCCGATAACGATACGATACGATAACGATAACGATGTTACGACTCAACTTTCTCATCCTCTGGGCGGCAGCAGCATCACTGTTTGCATCCGCTCTTCCCATTTCAGACGTTTCCGAAGAAGAGATCAACACGCCAACGCCAGAACCGAAAAAGACGTTTTGGAAGAGCTTCAATCCCAACACCGACTTCCGAAACCGCAACTTCAACACCATCTCCCGCATCTACAACCTCACCGTCTACCCCAACCAGGTACCCATCTTGACCTTTGGCGGCGCAGCGTTTGTTCCAAAAGGACTCTTTGCCCAAAATGTTGTTGGCCGTGTTGACCCAGTCGGCAACTTCACCGGTTTTGAACACTCGATTGAGTACTTCTTTGCGCTCTCGCCATTGCCGCAGGCCAACCCATCCTCTGCCGCCATCACCAGCTACAAGATTGTCGAGTTTTCGTCCGAGTGCAGGGACATCGCCGCCAGCGTCGTGTACCTCTACACCAGCGTCGTCAACCCTGGCTCACCGGATCACGGAAAGCCACTGCCTCCGTTGAAGCAGGTGGCCTTCTGGAAGTTCAACAAGGAGGGCGAGGTGGAAAAGTATGACGCCTGGATTCCGAACCTGAACAGCTGGGTGACGAGGACGACAATGGCGAGTCTCGGGAATCCCGAGTTCCAGTTGGAGAGCATCAGGCAGATCTGCTACGGGACGCAGGCGAGGTGCTACGGCCCGAATCAGCAGTGGGACAGCATCGAGGACTGTGTTGTGGGATTGGCCAAGAAGAACTACGGGACGTATGATGAGGCTTGGGGTGACAATGTCGTCTGCAGAACCATTCATTTGGTGCTCACGCAGACCAGACCCGATGTAAGTCTCTTTCTCTCTGCAGACAGACAACAACTGAGACAAGTGACTAACCGCTTCACAACAGGTCCATTGCCCACACGTTGGCCCTACTGGAGGCGGCAAATGTGTCGACGTGGAGTACCCCGAGAACTACTTCTCGGACAAGTGGCTCTACGAAGAGGAGACTGGCGAGACTTTTGTCTGCAAATGATTGATGTGTTATTAGATGTACATGATGGGGACCGCCTTGACGATGACAACAAGAAAAATATGGGACGGATGATTTGATGATTCACGACAACAACAACAACGACGAGCATACGAAAAAGCAGAAGCAACAACTATTGTAATTAATGTATATTTAGACGGACTGGCACATTTTTGCTGAAGGATATGTACGGGAGGTAGCGTAGTGCTTTTTGGACGGAATAATAGATGGTTGTGGGCTTGCATTGGTGCGTTTGTTGTCTTTGAGTGTTCGTGCCTTCCTCCATGGACCATCTCATGAGAGGCCCGGCTTTTTCCCACTTCCCGTCCATCTGGCACGGACTCAGACACTCACCTGAGCAACAAAGATGGCTTGTTGACGCGACCTCAATGTACCTTCCGCACACCATCTTCTTCGACTCGACATTCTGCCAAAATTTGACATGATGGGATTTCTCGAGATCATTCACCGGTTGAATAGGTACTCAGCTCTTGCCAAGCTCATAACCCGTTTATTCCTCGTTACCCGTCCTGATTTTATCCTGCCGACCTCAGGGACCAGGGCACCTGACCTCAACGACAGTTTATGATGAGGCCAACAAAGACAGACGCGTACAGGACAACACAGGTGAAGTTTTGATGACTGCACACACGAAAGCAACCGAGTGACAACAAGCAGTGTTGCAGCGAAATACCTTTTCTGCCTAAAGGAATCCGGAGGCGGACATAAGCTTTGCTTGGGTTGCCCTGCTACGGCCAATCGCTAGCCATAAAGGGGTGGTCAGCGACAACGTTGACCCGCAGATGTTGAGATGTAACCGCCACTCGGAAAGCTCCTCGGTTATGAAAACAAAAGTTAAAGCACATGACGGATCATTATAGTTCATATCTGTCCCCAGCAACCCGGACTTCCCCCCGAATCTGTTCACTCTCCAGCCGACCCGCTCGCGGCTCAACAGAGCCCTCGATGATCACCAGCCCCCTTGTTGACTAGTCGTCAGCGGCTTGGTGTGAGAATTCAGGCTGAAGATACCATCGACATGTAGCCAGGGGCTAAGACTCATGATCGGTATTTTTCACGGCAGACAGAGCGCCAACCGAACCCGTCGTTACATCGAACAAGCTTGTCTCTTGATCCGACAGACATTCCAAAATCACGGAACAACCCAATTTGCATAGGAAGTGCGCAATCTACTCTAAACAAGAGGTGTTGTGGGGTACATCCTTTTCATGCGGACCCAAACCAGGGTTTCAACCGCCCCAGACACGGCATGGGATTGGTGGGAATGACTTGCCCTTTCCAGAAGTCCCGGTTCTACGTCCGGCTCACACGTTACGTACTCCAGGCCAAAGCGCCGCACGGCATCAATCATCGCGGGGCCCCGCACGGCAGGATGGGAGATCGGCATGGACACCGCTCGGGAGATGGGATTAGGCTAAAGGAAGGGGGAGCTCTTGACTGGGACGACGACACCACGGAGGAGGATGGTGATGAAAGGTGCGTGTGGTATACCCGACGTTGACCGGGCATAGGGGGCCTGTGTCACCGAGGCTTTCCGAATTCATGAGGATGCTGGGATGTTGATACGTGCGCTTGAGGTAGGAGTGCGGACAACGACATGTCACTTTTCGTAAAGGGGCAAGGGCAAGGTGCAACGGCGAAAAAGAAGCTCATACGATTGTCTCAAGTCTGTTGTAGTAAGACGGTGGTACTGACCTCAAGCAGAGACATTTCCAGGCTAGACCATCGGAGATAAACCTCCTTGTTGGGCCCCATGACCAAGTCCTGGCGTCAAGTATAAAGATCCAGTCTCTTCCCAACTTTGAACTCGACTCTTTCACCTCACCACCAGTCCTATCATCCTCAAGTCAAGAAACCTATTTCAAAATGGTCTCCTTCAAGTCCCTCCTCACAGCCACCCTGGCTACCGGCGCCGCTGCCGTCCCCTTCAACGCCACCGAGGTCTTTGAATCCCTCCAGGCCCGGGCTGGGACACCCTCCTCCACCGGCAATCACAACGGCTACTACTACTCCTTCTGGACCGACAACGGCGGCACCGTCAACTATCAAAACGGCAACGGTGGCTCCTACTCGGTCAACTGGCAAAACTGCGGCAACTTTGTCGGTGGCAAGGGATGGAACCCGGGCAATTCCAACCGCGTGATCAACTACTCTGGACAATTCAACCCCCAGGGCAACGGCTACCTCGCCATCTACGGCTGGACGCGCAACCCTCTGATCGAGTACTACATCATTGAGAGCTTCGGCACCTACGACCCCAGCTCGGGGGCGACCAGGCTGGGTACCTTCAACACTGACGGCGGTACCTACACCATTGCCAAGAGCACGCGGTACAACCAGCCCAGCATTGAGGGGACCAAGACGTTTGATCAGTTTTGGAGCGTGAGGACTTCGAAGAGGGTTGGTGGGAGTGTCAATGTTGGGAACCACTTCAAGGCGTGGGCGGATAAGGGGTTGAGGTTGGGGAGCCATGATTACCAGATTGTGGCTACCGAGGGGTATCAGAGTTCGGGGTCGGCTTCGATCACTGTTTCTTAGGGGGGGGGGGGTGACGTTGGAGGAGGTTAAGAACCTGGAAGTTGGAAGATGAGAGGAGCAAGGGGTCGACCAGGAGGAAGATCTGTTGAAAGTCTGGGCTGCTTGTGGAAAAGGGTTGCCAGATATTAAAGTGCAAAATTGTTTTGTTGTAAATTATTCTTGTTGCTTTCACACGCTCCTTTTATGAACACTTCTAGATAGGGATATGACTCGATTGCATCTCACCATGCCCGTGTTTCTATCCAATGTGAAGCATGCGGGACTATTTCCATCTTTCAAACACCTTGAGAGACATAATGGATGTTTAGTTTGGGAGCAGAGCATCTCAAATATTTCTATCGAGGTAAGACGCAGTCAAAGTTCTTCTGAGAATCAAGTGACGTTCCACGGAAGGCTGGCTAGACATATCGATTACCGCATCTTCAACAGTCTGTTGACGGGTGCTGTTGTAAAGTCTTCCGTGTTGAGAGCGAGACGTCATAGTCCTTTCTGCCCAAGAGGCCTTGAATGTTCGATGTTGTCTTTTCTTTGATTCCTTTGCCCACCGCTTGAACTTTCCACCACCGCTGTGAGTTTAACTCTCTTTAAGTACCCACACATCTCTAAATCCTTCCATCATCGGGCCATTTGTTCATCACCCTGACACTCAGGTTCAGAAAGTCGAAAGGGTTAGGGTTCAGAGAGGCTATCCCTTGGCGCATTGCCGCCAGGCTCCAGGAGGCAGAAAACAATGCGCAGCTTCTAGATTTGGAGGAAATGAAACAGAAAGCGCACAAGGATTATTCAGAGAGCTCCCAACTTGCCTAATTTCGGATGGTGGTCGCTGTTCCCTCCTGCCTTCCATCCAGGCAGGAAAAGGTGGGTCGACCTCGCGGCTGCCTGGCACGTGCATGTCGCGTCTGCCATTGACATCAACCACAAGGGTCCAAGCACCACGCCTTCACCACCACCCTCCTCCGTGGCCGCTACGAAACACCTTCTATTCCAGTTACACCGATATTCTCCGAATGTGTACGGATTCTGCATCCATCAGCTGGTTTAAAAAAGGCCGTCACATCCTGTGAGCAAATGAGTTCTGGCACTCGCGTGGCAGTCGTGGAACCCTGATCGGTCAGTTGCCGCACACACCCCTGACACAGAACCACCTCTAACACTGGTTTAGGAAAGTTGAAAGCCGGCTCTCTGCTGGCCTCTGTCGTCCCAGTTCCTCCTTGGGATCCTTCGCCGGGCCCCTGCCTACTCTGAAGCTGCGTCGGGCGGGAAGAAGGCCAGGTGCAGCGGCCACTGCATCGTCCATCACGGCAGTGGCAGGTGCCTATCCATAGAGCCTCGAGCCGCAGGCTCATTGTCCTACCCTTTGCACCTGAAATGGCCTCACCACTTCCTCAGACCACAATGTCGAACCATCCGTCATGGCGGCTTCTGCCCGTCACAGCCCCGGATATCCCCACATTGCTGGTCTCGGCTACCTTTACAAAAGATTCGTATCACTTTCGCCTCACAGATCTCGCCAATGTCTGGGTAGAAAACATGGAGAGAAAGCCCATCATCAAGCGTGGATTAATGGAGGATACCAGCATTGATCCCAGTGATGGGCCCGACCAGATCCGCCGCATGCTCGAGCTGCTTCGAGCTGCCTTCGACCACGATGACCCCGAGCATTCGGACACATCACTGACTCTGGCAAGAGATGACGACAACGACTCCCTTGTACTCCATGTCACCTGCGTTCTGCCCCAACCGTTGAAGCCCTTCAAATGGCCGATGGAACTCAAAAAATGCCCGCAATCCAACCTTGCAACTGAACTGGTGCTACCCATGGTCCAGGCCCACGAAGCCAAACTGCGCGAGATTGATCAGCTGATATCAGCCCTGTGCGAGAAGGACGGAATCATCACACGGCTTGTCGACAAGCTCGAAGCTACTGGCACCGGGCTTGAGCACGTGTTCAATTCGCTGTCCGGGAAGCGCAGAGTCACAAGAGCCGCCGCCGAAGCGAACGTGAAAGGTCTCGCCCCTTTCTCGGAGGCGGAGTTCCGGAATAGCACTTCGGAGCTGCGTTCTGTCGCTCAGCCCTCTGACGTGTCGACCCTCTTGGAGGACGTCTTTGGTACCACGGGCCTGACGTACAAGTCGGACCTTGATCTTGAAGCTTCCGCCACGCTGAACGATTGGTGGACCAGGATTGGAAAGGGGAAACACGTTGCCCTGGTCGGCAAGCCCAGCAAGAAGAAAGCCCGGACGCCCTCGCCCCCACCGGCCACAGAGCCCAAGGTGAAGGAGGAGGATGTGGACGACTTTCAGGTTCAAGTTACTCCTTCTGCCGTTCGGAAGCGTGACACCCGGGCGCGACCTCAACTGGAGACGACCAACGATGATGAGACGTCTTCCGGGGAAGATGAAGACCAGCCGGTCGTGCCATCTGCTCGGAAAGACCATGCCCCGTCCCCGAGCAAGGCAGCCAAATCCCGAATCGGGGTTTTGGGCGGCCGCAAAGCTTCGTCCACTTCACCAGTAACACGCCAGACACCCCCCAGGAAAGCTGCTTCCAAAAAAGCACCGGGTTCCTACAATGACTCGGAGACGGCTTCAGATGATGACGAGAAGGACCAAGGCCACTCACCTTCGCCACCCCCTAAACAACTTCCGAACCGCGGCGGACTGGGCCGCATTGGAGGAAAGGCCAAGCCAGACCCGCCATCACCGGAACCGAAAGAAATCACTTCGCCGGCGCAAGTGGACGACAGACCTAGCCCGGCACCGAAGAGACACAAGCTTGGTATCATCGGAAGACATACCCCGAACCCGGATGCCGGAGCATCGGCCGCTAGCGACGATGGTAGAGGAAGGAGCAAGAGCAAGACGCCAGCCAAGGATCAGTATCGCGAAACCTCGCAGGAACGAGCTGAAAGGAAACGGGCCGAGTTGCAAAGAGAACTGGAGGCTCGAGCAGCAGCTGGGCCCGCAAAGAAGAAGCGCAAGTTTTAGGACCTTTCTCTTATCAGGTTTCGAGATGTACTCTTCATCCGTACAATTGCAACAAGTTCACAGTCCGTAATATTGCCCTCGCGCCACATCCCCCCCTGAATGACCAGTCTCACTCTGAGAGCTGCTCATTACCTGACTTCTCTAGTACACAGGCTCCTGCCTCACATCAACTCATCGATTTACGGCGTGAAGCCGCAAGATATGAACAGGATTTCCCGCGTCACACAATGTCTGCAGCAGCACCTGTTCGACCGTTTCGGCCGTGGTTGTGTCACCATGCCTCAAGTCCCATGCGTCCTTTTGTGGCCGGCCACTAGCTCCTGGACCACGTACACAAGGCAGAAGGCTGTAATACAAGAGCTGGACAAGGTCCGAGGGCGAGGAGACTGGGTTGCCGGGAGTAGTAGCTAAAAGCGGACATTTTGCCATCGGGACTTTGTGAGCCTGTTAGGTTTTGACCAGACGGCACGACAACGTCACCAGAAACACGCTACTCCTCGCCTGACTGGGCATTGGAGTGCAGCAACGATTGCATCAACTACCAAAAGCTGAAAAAAGCCCAGTCTTTCTTGAACAGTATTACGGCCGGGAAACTACTCCCAAGTGGTAGCACCAGTATCACGGGCTTTCTGCACCCAGCACTGATGCCGCTTACCATGCAGCATCTGATATTCACAAGGAAGGGATATCTTTCTTCCGCATATCACTCCCCGTGGAACTGTGTCGCGGAAATTTTAGCAACTTGTTCGAAAGTCACCAATCTCAGCCACCCACAACATGTCTCCTGTTATACTGAAGCCGTGTCGTAACCAGCCACGGGGGTGGGGTAACCCTTTGGTCGTACAGACTGCTCTGTGTTGAACAGACAAGACAATGCTCGAGCGTGGAATCTTGATAACTTCCCCGGATGAGCACATGGTGACGTGCATGGTGTAAAAAGGAGGCCCAAAAGAGAGACACCGCGCCATCTGGAGCCAACCAAAGTTCTATCGGCTATATGACGCACACCCTCTTCGCCTTGCATGAGTGATAAGTCACCAGTCATTGGCAGATGCGTTGACGCCGCCATAGAGGACTCCCAGATACTCTTCTGCACGGCAACAGAAAGCTATGGGGCTCGGATGGCCCAACAGTTCTATTCTGTCAGCCCCTGTCGCTTACAAGAAAATCGGTGCCATTTCTCTGCCCACGAATGATGAGCCCCATGGACCCGGCTCCCCGCTCCAAAGTTACACACGTTTTTTCAGAAGCTGATATTATGGCTGCATGCCACTCGATATGTTCAATTGGCCATTGCAAATCCGGGCTCGTGGCTATCGCCCGCCCGCCCCCTTGACACGAGGTCAAGTGTTTCTCATGTGGTTTGTTTGACAACCTACGGTTCTCTACAGAGAACAGGTCAGCTCTCCTTAAGATTCACCGCCGTAATGCATGTCGAAGCCACTGATCAGCGCGGATGCGCCATGGAGCACCCGGAAGCCCCCACTTCCGGTTGGTACAGCAGGCTGTCAGATGTCTTCGAGGTTCTGCAGGTTTCTGCTGCGTTCGGGTCCATCTCCGGATCTCTCACTTCGACTCAACACACACGCAGGCTCAACGGCGTCGAGCCTTTCTGCCATCGTGATGTCCCTGATCTGATCGGATATCATCTCATTCTCGCAACCTTTACCCTTCTCTCTGCAGACAAAGTGAGCGGGGGTGTTGCAAACAGCCCATGCATCGTTGGTTGCGCACTGATATCTGATCTGATCTCGGGCCTTTTCGCAGCTCATGCCGAGCGGACCAAACACTCTTTGTCCATGGCTCAGGGCCGATGGTGATCGTCGACCTCGAGTGGGTGTGCGTCATTTAGGCCTGGCAAACCCCACGCGGGAAGTTGCGGTCAAATCAGCGCTTGACACCTGCGGTTCGCATGCAATAGGTTTACAATTATCGTGCGTTCGTTGCATTGCTGCCCTGCGCGTAACGCGGGTCACGATGTCTTGCTAGAGAAAGAACCGGCCGGCCTCGATTGCGTCTTTGACGACGTCTTCTTGTTGGCTTGGCTTCAAGTCCGAGTTGAGTGAGGTTGTTGTCGACGACCCGCGGTGGGTTCTCCCGCGGAACGGGGCGCCCGCAGGAGCGCTACTGCACCGGCTCGTTCGGGTTCTCTTGATCCCTACCCCGTCCGTGATTCGGATTGGTTTTCTTCCCTGACGACGGAGCGCCTCGAATGCCGCTTGCCACAGTGACCAGCCGTCTTCAGCCAATTCGCGACGGCGCTATGCCCGTGTGCCATTCCTCACTGCAGAAATGCCAGGACTGTTCTGAGGATTTCTAGCCGCAAGAAATGCACCATCGCCATGAAATCCCGAATTGAGAAAGTTTTGATAGCAAATGTCCGAAGGTTTGTCCCCTCCCCCTCCTCCTTTAGGACCTTTGGCCTCCAAGAACGAAAGCCCAGGCAGGCCTTTTGACGCTATTTCACAAACAACCATCAAGCATCGGACCGAGACAGAAGACGCCGGTCTCGGGCACCTGGGCTTCGAGCTAAGGTAGTCATTCACATCACGATCCCTTGCGTGTCGAGGCCGTCCGTCATGGAAGAAAGTCGGATTGTTGGACATCAAATGGGGATCGCAACAGAATGCCATAATGATCCGCACCGATTTACTGGCGTGGGGTTTAGGGGAGCGACTGAGGTGAAGCGCACCACTGATATGACGAACTGCTGAGACACGCCAATGGCTGTGACACAGTCCGGTCCCGCCTACCCGGTTTGGCAGCAGATCCAATCTAGATCAAGCGGGACCCTCCGCCGATCGACCGGGCTCCCCAGGTTATCAAAAGGATCCAAAAAGTCGGTCGGATCAATGAGAGCAGTGCGATGAAGCAAGCGAGGACACGCCATGCTTTGCTTCTTTGCTGTCAGCATTTGCCCAGAGGTGTGACCACATGAGTTCCCGTTGCTCACTACTGCATAGCAATGCAGCCTCAACACAGCCAACACCTTTTTTATTCGTCACTTTGCTCTGCCAGGCCACCGGCCCCCATTCAACCGCCTTCCGGATATGGGATTGTTGCGCACCAGACTGAAACAAGAGCAGCTGAGCCCCCAGTCCCGCCGAGGGTTACTTGCAGGAGACTATTGCATGCTCTTGGAGGCTGTTGGTGGATGAGATCAGGTTCTGTCCTCGTGGTTCCATTTGGCACGGTGGGGCTCGGCACGGGGGGCCTCTGATAGCAACAAGCTTGGTTCCGATGGGGAAAAAGAAACATCAACAAGCAAAGGAGACCGGCGTCCGGCCGGGATAGCTGTACAGACCGCAGCTGTCAGATTCTCTAGGGCTGCCGCACCCCCGTGCCGGCATCTGTACGTCGGTATATCAGGAAGGTTGGACGAGCCAACCCTCAGGGTTTTTGACCAACCAACAGGCGCATCGACACCGGGATTGCCAAAAGGGATTTACGCTGAGAAACCGTAAACCAACTTGGGTTGCATCGGCCCCCTCGTCGGGGGGTGTCACCGTGGTCTCCAAGGCGCCAACATGTTCATGACGCATACGCTTTCATCATTTTCCTGCTTTGAGGGCGTGGCATGGAGGTTTTTCCTGTTGTCATGGAACAGTTACATGGGACCAAGTCTCGAATACCTCTGGTTGACAACGGTTGATTGATTTCAGCCACCTTTCTCTCCCCGCATGCAGCTTCCTTGGCGGACCCCCAACCTCTTAGTGCCACCCATCATTGCCTGGCTGCATGTCGAGAACTCCTTTCAAGACAAGGCCTTGAATCCAAAATGAAAGCTATTGACAGGCCACATCCGAACAAGGCGTGTTTCCTTTGTTGCGTGTTGCTCCTTCCGTTTTCTTCGCTTGTCTCCCCTCCCGAAGCCGGCGACATGCGACGACTAACATCCATAGGGGGTGTGGCTAGACGGGAGTCTTGCGCAGAACGATGATCTCTTCCGCGCAGAAATGCCAACTTGGAGATGGGGCAGAAGCAACAGGACAGCTGCAATGCGGGGCTCTCTATCCGGCGTCCATTCCCTGGTACAAACCTGCTGCCCGTCCCGCTGCCAAGCTGCTGTCTCACCATTACACAAAGGGGCCTACGTACAGTGAGGGGTAGCTTGAATATGGATAGGGCGGTGACTATCACAGGCAGTGCGAAGTCAAGGCAACAGAACACTGAGGTCATTCCACCTTCCGACACATACGGACGAGGTTGGCTTGTTCCAGAGGGGCTTGTCTCGTGCCAGAGCCACAGCGCTGCTGAAATTTTTACGAAGACATGATGGAAGCACAATACAATCGCACATTGTGTGCTGTCGTTGAAAGGACGAAATTAGGTATCGGCCCCCAACAGCACTGTTGCCGTCACTCAGCCTAGGTCTTAACCGCATTCTTCCAGCGATGTGATCCCCAGGAACGGATCGTCTGAACACGGCCATTAAGATCAGAAACGTCAGGTGTTGGATCACACGCTCAGTTCCTGCTGCGAGCCCTGGGAGGCCCTGTGCCATCCGGGCGCTTAACTTGGTGATGAGTCTGGTTAAGGTTATCGACGGCTGGCATGCCAAGTCCCTGGATATATTGATTACCCCACCATCACCCATGACACAGGGCACAAGACGGTTGATACCGTGCAGGCTATCCCTTGAACAAAGAAGGATGAAGCAAGACTCGATGGGCTGAGAGATCACACAGCGCCTTCTTTTCTCGACCTGATCTTCTTTTCACTGACCGAGATCCATTCCGTTGCCGCATCGAAAGTCAATGAAGGCGTCGGCATTGAGCCTGAATCCGGCAACAAAACGACCGACGGCTGTATAATTATTGTATACGGAGTATCACCACATTCATCTGGCACAGTTTTCGGTTCTCGGTCGCGAACTGCGACCGCTGAGCAGCATCACACCATCTCTCCAGGTTGACGCACGGACTATCCCGGGCAGTCGGTACCCAATCGCATCACAGAACTCACTTGAGACAGGGAAGCATCGATGAAGATGGAGCCAC